CCAGCGCTGGCGATTCTTCTTCCGCGGCCCCCCTTAGCACTCTCAACGATCTCGTCGGCCGCCAGATCTGGTGCTACGACGAGGCCCTCGGCAGCGACGAGGATCGCGCGCGCGTCCAAGAGGCTCGGGATCACTTCGCCAAGAATCGTCATGTCCAGAAGCACAGCTCCGATCTCCTCATGCGAATGCAGGTATGCTGGCGGAATTCCTGATTTTCGAATCTCCAATCTTTCTTCTCTTCTCGCATAGCTCTCCAAGGCTGCACAGCCGCTGCCCCAAATCCCTCCTCCAGTGAAGGTCCAAAGCGATGCGGAGATCAAGCAGAGCGATGTCGAGACCACGATTCGTCGTGCCTTGCGATTTTACTCCACGATTCAAGCCGAGGACGGCCACTGGCCTGGTGATTACGGAGGTCCCATGTTTCTCATGCCGGGATTGGTATGGGCTTATCTTTGGGATTTCTTACATGCCAAATGATGGTGTATTATCAGATCATTGCTTTGTACGTCACTGGAGCGATCAACGTGGTTTTGTCACCGGAGCACCACCGAGAAATGTGTAGATACTTTTTCAATCACCAGGTGTGTAATCTTTCTTTCTAGCGATGTTCGTGAATTTTTTGTCTTTCTGGAAGAACGAAGATGGTGGCTGGGGATTGCACATTGAAGGGCACAGCACGATGTTTGGCACTGTACTTGTTTATGTTTCTCTACGGCTACTTGGCCAAGAACCAGACAAGCCGGCCATGGAGAGCGCCCTTTCATGGATTTTTGGTCATGGAGGGACCATCGCCATTCCGTCCTGGGGAAAGTTTTGGCTCGCGGTACGTGAATGAAAATTCAAGTTGTTTCTTTGTTATTGACGATAACCTGTTTCTGTAAGGTTCTTGGAGTGTTCGATTGGTCGGGAGTTAATCCCCTACCGCCAGAAATGTATTTGCTGCCGTATGCGATTCCCCTTCATCCAGGTATCTCCTTAATTATTTGTTCTCTACGTATGCTCAAAGTTTTCTTTAGGACGTATGTGGTGTCATTGCCGGATGGTTTATCTTCCTATGAGCTATCTCTACGGTCGTCGTTTCACTGGAAAAATCACACCCAAGGTTGAAGCTCTGAGAAAGGAGCTCTTTAACGGACCCTTTGAAGACGTGGATTGGAATCGTGCGCGAAATAGTTGTGCGAAGGTAAAATTTTCTGCGCACCCGAGAAGGGTGCATTTATTTTTATCAACTACAGAAAGCATTTCTTGATGACTGGTATGCAGGAAGATCTGTATTATCCTCATCCGCTCATACAAGATGTTCTTTGGGGAGTTTTGCATAAAGGTGTGGAGCCTCTTTTAATGCATTGGCCAGGATCATTGCTGCGCAAAAAGGCGCTTGATACGGTTCTCGAGCATATCCACTACGAGGATGTCAATACGAGATATATATGCATTGGGTCTGTTAACAAGGTGGGAATCGTTTTGCTCCTCTGTCTATTTAGTTTATTGTTCCACTCAGGTCATCAACATGCTTTGCTGTTGGGCGGAGGACCCAAACTCCGAAGCTTTCAAACAGCACTTGTCCCGAATTCATGATTATCTCTGGGTTGCTGAAGATGGGCTGAAAATGCAGGTAAAAGGATTTTTAGATTTTTTTTTTTTCTATTTGTTACGTAACCAAGAAACATATAAGGGATACAATGGCAGTCAACTTTGGGATACAGCTTTTGCTGTACAAGCGATAATAGCAACGGATATACTTGAAGAATCCGGGGAGATGCTGAAGAAAGCTCATTCCTACATAGAAAAATCACAGGTTTGTAACAAGAATCCCTATACGTTAGTTATCACGATCGTCCTCCCAAAGGTACGCGAAGACTGTCCCGGGGATTTGAAGCATTTTCATCGTCATATTTCAAATGGAGCATGGACATTTTCCAACAGAGATCACGGATGGCCTGTACCGGATTGCACTGCTGAAGGCTTGAAGGTATTGTCGACTATTGAGCTATCTACCTTCTGATGGAACATTCTGTTATAGTGTGTGTTGCTTCTATCACGCATTTCCTCGGACGTTGTTGGGAAGCCCTTATCTCCGGATCGGCTTTATGATTGCGTCAAACTGATCCTTTCATTGCAGGTACTAAACTTTTCTCTTTGGACGAGTTCGCCGCTAACTGGCGAAAGCAGAACGCTAGTGGAGGAGTCGCATCATACGAGCTGACACGATCATACTCTTGGATCGAAGTGAGATGAAAGGATGCTGTGTTGGCTTTTAGTGATAACATGTCGAAATTGCAGCTGTTCAACCCTTCAGAAATATTTGGGAACATAACAATTGACTACTCGTAAGAGCTATCTATCTAAGTATGCTCTCTTAACGTTCTGTTTCTAGCTATGTGGAATGTACATCAGCTTGCGTTCAGGCACTCTGTGCTTTCAGAAGGCTCTACCCTGACCATCGGTCCAAGGAAATCGAGCTATTTGTAGCCAAAGGATGCCAATATATTGAAAGCATTCAAAGACCTGATGGCTCCTGGTAAGCTTGTATTCTTTTTTCTATTTTCATACGTTTTTAAGGTACGGGTCATTGGGTGTTTGTTTCACGTACGGCATCTGGTTTGGAGTCTTGGGCTTGGTTGCCTCTGGTAAAAGCAATAAGCACTCTGCAGCGATCCGCAGGGCCTGCGATTTCCTTCTCTCCAAGCAGCTCCCATCAGGTGGCTGGGGTGAGAGCTACCTCTCCTCTCAAAACAAGGTGTGGCTAATTTTCTCTTTCTCGTCATACATGTAAGCTTCTCTTTTTTGCAGGTTTACACGAACCTGGAAGGTGGTAAACACCACCTCGTTAACACGGCTTGGGCGATGCTAGCGCTTATTGCAGGTGGACAGGCAAGTCTAGACAATTTAGTTTCAGAAATGTTTTGGTTTCAAAATGTTTCTCTCTTTATCTTGTTTAGGCTGAAAGAGATTCCACGCCTCTGCATAAAGCCGCTGCTCTTTTGGTAAACGGACAGCTTGAAGATGGCGATTTTCCACAGGAGGTACGTAATGCTTACATATGGTTTTTCCGTCACCTTGTTTTCTTCTTTCTTGCAGGAAATAATTGGAGTGTTTAACGGCAACTGCATGATCAACTACTCCGCCTACAGGTGTATCTTCCCAATCTGGGCACTCGGACAATACCGCAGCCGCGTGCTCAAGCGTCCAGCAATTGAGTCTTCTATTAGTTTCCAGCAACACATAAACCATGACACATAAAGCATCGCTTTGCTAAAATTTTACCTATGAAATCACAGCTCGTTTTTAGCTGGCTCGCCGCCGTCCAGTGTTGTGGTGGCCGCTCGAGGGAGAGCGTGGGAAGCCCTGGAAGTCAAACATGTCTTCTTCAATATGCAGTGGCATCCTGAAACAAAACGTGCGCTTATCAAAAACAGATGTACCGTCTTCCCCAGGCTCGATCACCACTTTCACTGATTCATCGTTCTTCTGGGGAATGGACTCCCACCCCTGACGTGTCCATCATGTGTAAGAAGCTACCAATAGTGAATGTCTTCGTTGATAGTATCATCTCTACTGCAAATTTGTTTGCTTGGGCAAGCATATTATACAACAACTTTGGATTCAAATTAAAGTTCTTCATTTATATATCTACTACTCAAAGCCCCAGATTGGCACTAGTGGAAGTGGACTGTAAAAGTTTTATATATGTATAGAGAGAGAGAAGATTCTTTTCTTCCAAAACTCAGCAATCTCAGCTGACAACTTCTAAATTATCAAGATACTACTGCTGAACTGTCAAGATATTGCTGGTGAACTATCATTATCTTGACTAAAGCTTTCATATGTATTAGAACTGTTGTAATTTATAGCTTTTGCATAATGATCCAAAGCTTAACACAGTCTGTCATAACTCAAACCATTGTTGGCATACCAATCTTTGCAGCTTTTCGGTAATTTGGGGTAGAGATTTGTTAATAGAGTTTCTTCATTAAATGTGCCATCAATCAATTCTACAACAGGATGAGAAAATAAATTACTTATTTCACAAGGGATAGACAAATTTGAAGCCAATGGAATAAAACACTTCATGGACGCATTTTTAGTAGCATGATATAAACCCTCTAAAACCCTAAGTATTGACTTTTCAAAATATTTTAATTTACTTGTTTGATAAAAAAATCTAAATATTTCTCAATCCAACGGTTGAGATTTTCAGCTGCTAAACTTCTCTAATCAAGGTTTAATGTTAAAATTTTTACTTACTAAAATTAAATTGGTGCATGTGACAGGTAAAAAGCCAAGAGCCACCACCACCAAGAGAGAATGTGGCTAGCATTCCATCTCCCGGCCTTCAATGGCGAGGGGGACGTAGACGAATGGTTTTAGGGTTTAGGGTTTAGGGTTTAGAAGGATCTTTGATGCATTGCCGGCCAAGAACATCGAGCGCTTGCGACCGCGTATGCCGAGAGTGGGGGCCAAGGCAGCGTTCGATCGAATGGCGGTGTGGGACGTAGTTTCGTCCATTGGCTTCAAGTTTGTCTATCCCTTGTGAAATAAGTAATTTATTTTCTTAAACCCTAGTAATAAAACACTTCATGGACAGTGTTTCATAAGTGATTGACGAACTTGAAGCCAATGGCATAAAACAGTTTATGCATTTTTATTCCATTGGCTTCAAGTTTGTCTATCCCTTGTGAAATAAGTAATTTATTTTCTCATCCTGTTTTTAAAGCAAGTGCTTCTTTAACACAGTCGCCATCCACGAGGACAGCCACAAGATTCTCTATGCGGCAAACTATCTCACAGGCCCCGCCCACGCCAAGTGGAGAGCTCTTCACCACCAGGACGGTGCCGCCACCACCACCTGGGAGGATTTCAAGAATCTCATACTTCGCTGCTTCAAGCCGTGCGCCGCTGGCGATGACGCTGCCACTGCGATCAAACAGAAGGAGCTCTCAGTCGGAGAATACACCGATAACTTTCTCGACTCGCGCAAGCTCAACCGGTACATCTCGGGTCTCAACCCGCCGCTGGCAAACTTCGTCAACTTGAGGAAGCCCAGGAACTTGCAGGAGGCCATAACTCTGGCGCTCCAGGCGGAGAGGGCCGCAAAGGCCGCTGCCGAGGCAAAGCCGAAAGAAACACCACCCCTGACAGCTCGCTACTACCAGAGTTTCGTGGCCTTACCTCCAAAGAAGGAGGAGCAGCCGCCGAGCGCTCCAAAGAAGGACGTGAAGCTCCACTTTGTGGTGTACTCCGGCGACGACGACTTCGGGAAATGGCAGCGCGGGAGAGTGAACGGGCACACGGTCAGCTTCGTGGCCAGCAACAGCTCCGACAACTTCGTGTCCGAGAGCGCCGTGTCCCGCCTCGGCCTGCGAACGGAGGAGTGCACGGAGTTTAGCGTCGAGACACCGCTGGGAACCAGTACTTATACCGGCAACTTGGTGGCTCCGAAGCTCGAGTTCGAGATCGATGGCGGGTACATGGGCCGGATGGACTTTGCCGTGATGAAGTTCTCCCGCCACGACTTTGTCCTCGGCCACTCTTTCTTCGGGAACAACTTCCAGATGTTCGCCACCGAGCTGAGGGTCGAGTCGGATGGCTATGTGTACAGCTTCACGCTCCACTCGGATCCTCCCTGCTCGGTCATATGATTGGAAAGCTCTTCCTCTCCAGGACAAATTAGCGTGATCACAATCATCTAAACACCCTTCTCAAGTACAAGGAAAGAGACACTAACTTTCCTTTTTCTCTTTGGAGTTCCCGAGATAAAAGAAAAGCAAACCAAGACAAACCAAAGACTATAGAATGAAAATTCACAAGAAAAGCTTGCTTGTGTGATTCTATGCAGCGAACGTGGAATTATATACACAAATGGCTGTCGAGTAGCCTTGCAGGAGGAATCAATGCGAGAGCACCGAGGTGGTCTCTCCAGAGCCATACGGGTCACCCCCCTGGCTAAGCCTGATGACGTTCTTAACTAGAAAATGGAGGGATTGGAGCAAACATACCCAGCACGCGACCTGGTGGAAAAAGCTGAGAAGCGCCCTCCTCGATCCCTCGTCCCTCCACCACCACCACGATCCATCGTCGCTCCAGCTCTCACCCCACCAATCGGACGATCCGCCACCGCCGCTGCCGTTGTCGCCGGCCCCATTTCCATTTCCCCCGTTGCCATCGGAGAAATCCTCCTCGGAGCCCGAAGAATACGATCTGCGCCTGCCGCGGCCGCGAATCGTCCTGGCACGCTTCCTCACCCGCGAGCACAGCCTCCTCGGCGGCGACGCCACGGCGTCCTGGACGAGCGATTGGGCGCCGTGGCAATCCACCCCCAGGCTGTAGATCAGCGCGGCGGAAGCTTGCGCCTCCACACCCCGGATCAGCGCAGCCCCCGCCATAAAAATGAGAAAATGCTTCTTTGCCCTAATCAGGCAAGAACAGGATCTCTTCAGCATATTCTAATAAACGTCCACGTCAGCAAAAACGTGAATAATGTGGCTGCCTTGCACGTCAAGTGCCCAACCGATGAATGCCACGTGTACGCAAAGGAAGCTCTTTGCCATGTCATGACCAGATGGACGGCTACGATTCCCGCATTGCATGGCTAAGCGGCAATCTAGCCGTTCGTACACATCGTACACAGTTCCTGTTCTGTGTGGGGTTTTAAGCTCTCGCCTAGGGCTTTGTTATTGGATCATTTCCATGGCGCGAGAGGGAGTGGTATTCCTGGCGCTTGCGCTGCTGGCGGTCACTGCTGCCAGAGTCATCGATGCGTCGAGCGAGAGCAGCGATGTTCTTGAGCTCGACGACTCCAACTTCGCGGACGAGATCAAGAAGCACGACTTCATCGTCGTCGAGTTCTACGCGCCCTGGTAAGTTCGATCGATCACTGGCGTCTCGCTGATGATGGCTAATCTGATATTTCGATTGACAGGTGTGGGCACTGTAAGAAGCTAGCTCCCGAGGTGAGATTATTCTCCTCTTCGCAGCGCAGAACTAACTATTGATTTGCTCTTTTACTCCAGTACGAGAAGGCGGCGACCGCACTGAAAGAACACAACATCGTTTTGGCCAAAGTAGACGCGAACGAGGAGAAGAACAAGAAGATTGCGTCGGACTATGAGATCCGGGGTTTCCCCACCTTGAAGATCATTCGCAAGGGGACCGTGGAGGAGTACAAGGGGCCGCGCGACGCAGATGGCATTGTGAGCTACTTGAAGAAACAAGCCGGGCCAGCCACAGTGGAGCTAACTTCTACTGAAGAGGCTGGAGATTTCGTTGGACAGAACAAGATAGCTATTGTAAGTTTTGAAGCTCAAAATTCTTTTTTGCTTGACTCTCTTCCAGATTGGAGTTTTTAAGTCTTATGATAGCGAAGAGTTCCAAAACTTCACGGCTCTCGCGGAAGCGCTCAGATCTGAGTACGACTTTCGTCACACACTGGACGCTTCCGTGCTGCCTCTGAAGGACGAGCCACTGAAAGCTCCGGCAGTCAGGCTGTTCAAGGTTTTCGACGAACGTTTTAACGACTTCACGGTAAGCTCTGACTGGTTGCCATCTATCTTGCTTAACGCCACCTTCTTAGAATTTCTATGTCGAGGAGCTCAAAAAGTTTGTGGAGGAATCGAGCTTGCCTCTTGTGACCGAGCTGAATCAGGACCCCGAAATGCAGCCGTTTCTAATGAAGTTTTTCAACAAGGAGGCGCCAAAGGTTTTGTTTTCTCAATGTTTGGATTGATGTTTACCTTTTTCTGGGGAGGATAGGTGTTTCTGTTTGTCGAGTCGAGCCATGACGAAGAATATCGACCTGCTTACAAGAAGGTTGCAGAGTCAAACAAACCAAAAGGCCTTCTTTTCCTTGCTGCCAACAGCGCAGGAAACGACCATGCTCTTCAGGTCTGCTAATTCTAATTTGGTATCCTCACATTCTTAAATCTTTCCTTTTGTGCAGCACTTTGGTCTTGCAGCTGCAAAGCTGCCGTCCATTGTTGTACAAGACGCACAAGGGAAAAAGTTCGCAGTAGAGACGATCGAATCATCAAAGCTATCCAGTTTTGTGGACGACTATTTGGTAAGTTCTCTCACGGACGCTCACATTTTCTCTTACACTTGACATTGGACACAGGCTGGAAAGCTCAAGCCGTGGGTGAAGTCCGAGCCCGTTCCCGAGAAAAACGATGAACCAGTCAAAGTGGTGGTGAGGAACACTTTGAACGACCTCGTTATCGAGTCTGGGAAAGATGGTAATGCACAAGAACATAACCACGTTATAGTTTACACTCTACTAACATTTATTCGTACCTCCAGTTCTTTTGGAATTCTACGCGCCGTGGTGTGGCCACTGTAAGAAACTGGCGCCCACGCTGGACGAAGTCGCGGAACACTTCAAGGATGATCCCAAGGTCGTCATCGCGAAACTGGTGAGTTTTCTTGCACAGTTGCGTTGCTTTCGTAAGTAACCAGTCTCTTTCTTTCCTCTACGCAGGATGCCACTGCCAACGACATTGAAGACGAAACGTTTGACGTCCAGGGCTTCCCCACGCTCTACCTCTACACGGGCGCCAAGCAAGCCGTCAAGTACGAGGGCGATCGAAGCAAGGAGGATTTGATCAGCTTCGTTGACAAGCACAGAACCTCGGCTGCTCCTTCGGCGACACCGGACGCCGGCGAGCCTTCTAAAGACGAGCTGTGATTTCCGTCGGGAGAATTTTTGCGAAGCGATGGAATGGTGCTTTATGTTATGTGTTGCCGGAAACTAATAAGACGAGATCAATCCATCACTTTGCTGGACGCTTGAGCACGCGGCTGCGGTATTGTCCGAGTGCCCAGATTGGGAAGATACACCTGTAGGCGGAGTAGCTGATCATGCAGTTGCCGTTAAACACTCCAATTATTTCCTGCAAGAAAGAAGCAAACAAGGTGACGGAAAAACCATATGTAAGCATTACGTACCTCCTGTGGAAAATCGCCATCTTCAAGCTGTCCGTTTACCAAAAGAGCAGCGGCTTTATGCAGAGGCGTGGAATCTCTTTCAGCCTAAACAAGATAAAGAGAGAAACATTTTGAAACCAAAACATTTCTGAAACTAAATTGTCTAGACTTGCCTGTCCACCTGCAATAAGCGCTAGCATCGCCCAGGCCGTGTTAACGAGGTGGTGCTTACCACCTTCCAGGTTCATATAAACCTGCAAAGGAGGGAAGCTTACATGTATCACGAGAAAGAGAAAATTAGCCACACCTTGTTTTGAGAGGAGAGGTAGCTCTCACCCCAGCCACCTGATGGGAGCTGCTTAGAAACAAGGAAATCGCAGGCCTTGCGGATTGCTGCAGAGTGCTTATAGCTTTTGCCAGCGGCAACCAAGCCCAGGACTCCAAACCAGATGCCGTACGTGAAACAAACACCCCATGACCCGTACCTTAAAAACGTATGAGAATAGAAAAAAGAACACAAGCTTACCAGGAGCCATCAGGTCTTTGAATGCTTTCAATATATTGGCATCCTTTGGCCACAAATAGCTCGATTTCCTTGGACCGATGGTCAGGGTAGAGCCTGCTGAAAGCACAGAGCGCCTGAACGCAAGCTGATGTACATTCCACATAGCTAGAAAAAGACCAAACGCACGCTTAGAGAGCGTACTTAGATAGCTGTAGTTCTTACGAGTAATCGATTGTTATGTCCCCAAATGTTTCTGAAGGGTTGAACAGCTGCAATTTCGACAAGTTATCACTTAAAATCCATCCTTTCATCTCACCTCGATCCAAGCATATGAACGTGTCAATTCGTATGTTGCGACTCCTCCATTAGCGTTCTGATTTCACGAGTTATCGGCCAACTTATCCAAGGGGAAAAGTATTGTACCTGATAGGAAATGAGCATATTAACGCAATCATAAAGCCGTTCCGGAGATAAGGGCTTCCCAACAACGTCCGATGAAATGCGGGATAGTAGCAACACACTCTACAAAAGAATGATCCATCAGAATGTAGATACCCCAATGGTCGATAATACCTTCAAGCCTTCAGCAGTACAATCCGATATAGGCCATCCGTGATCTCTGTTAGAAAATGGCCATGCTCCATTTGATATATGTCGATGGAAATAGTCCAAATCCCCGGGACAGTCTTCGCGTACCTTTGGGAGGAAGATCGTGATAACCAACGTATAGTGATTCTTGTTACAAACCTGTGATTTTTCTATGTAGGAATGAGCTTTCTTCAGCATCTCCCGGGATTCTTCAAGCATATCCGTTGATATGATCGCTTGTACAGCAAAAGCTGTATCCCAAAGTTGACTGCCATTGTATCCCTTATATGTTTCTTGGTTACGTAACAAATAGAAAAAAAAAATTATCTAAAAATCCTTTTACCTGCATTTTCAGCCCATCTTCCGCAACCCAGAGATAATCATGAATTCGGGGCAAGTGCTGTTTGAAAGCTTCGGAGTTTGGGTCCTCCGCCCAACAGCAAAGCATGTTGATGACCTGAGTGGAACAATAAACTAAATAGATAGAGGAGCAAAACGATTCCCACCTTGTTAACAGGCCCAATGCATATATATCTCGTATTGACATCCTCGTAGTGGATATGCTCGAGAACCGTATCAAGCGCCTTTTTGCGCAGCAATGATCCTGGCCAACGCATTAAAAGAGGCTCCACACCTTTATGCAAAACTCCCCAAAGAACATCTTGTATGAGCGGATGAGGATAATACAGATCTTCCTGCGTACCAGTCATCAAGAAATGCTTTCTGTAAGCTGATAAAAATAAATGCATCCTTCTCGGGTGCGCAGAAAATTTTACCTTTGCACAACTATTTCGCGCACGATTCCAATCCACGTCTTCAAAGGGTCCGTTAAAGAGCTCCTTTCTCAGAGCTTCGACCTTGGGTGTGATTTTTCCAGTGAAACGACGACCATAGATATAGCTCATAGGAAGATAAACCATCCGGCAATGACACCACATACGTCCTAAAGAAAACTTTGAGCATACGTAGAGAACAAATAATTAAGGAGATACCTGGATGAAGGGGAATCGCATACGGCAGCAAATACATTTCTGGCGGTAGGGGATTAACTCCCGACCAATCGAACACTCCAAGAACCTTACAGAGACAGGTTATCGTCAATAACAAAGAAACAACTTGAATTTTCCTTCACGTACCGCGAGCCAAAACTTTCCCCAGGACGGAATGGCGATAGTCCCTCCATGACCAAAAATCCATGAAAGGGCGCTCTTCATGGCCGGCTTGTCTGGTTCTTGGCCAAGTAGCCGTAGAGAAACATAAACAAGTACAGTGCCAAACATCGTGCTGTGCCCTTCAATGTGCAATCCCCAGCCGCCATCTTCGTTCTTCCAGAAAGACAAAAAATTCACGAACATCGCTAGAAAGAAAGATTACACACCTGGTGATTGAAAAAGTATCTACACATTTCTCGGTGGTGCTCCGGTGACAAAACCACGTTGATCGCTCCAGTGACGTACAAAGCAATGATCTGATAATACACCATCGTTTGGCATGTAAGAAATCCCAAAGATAAGCTCATACCAATCCCGGCATGAGAAACATGGGACCTCCGTAATCGCCAGGCCAGTGACCGTCCTCGGCTTGAATCGTGGAGTAAAACCGCAAGGCACGACGAATCGTGGTCTCGACATCGCTCTGCTTGATCTCCGCATCGCTTTGGACCTTCACTGGAGGAGGGATTTGGGGCAGCGGCTGTGCAGCCTTGGAGAGCTATGCGAGAAGAGAAGAAAGATTGGAGATTCGAAAATCAGGAATTCCACCAGCATACCTGCATTCGCATGAGGAGATCGGAGCTGTGCTTGTGGACATGGCGATTCTTGGCGAAGTGATCCCGAGCCTCTTGGACGCGCGCGCGATCCTCGTCGCTGCCGAGGGCCTCGTCGTAGCACCAGATCTGGCGGCCGACGAGATCGTTGAGAGTGCTGAGTGGCGTGGCGGAAGAAGAATCGCCACCGCTGGCGACATGGAGCTTCCACATTGTTAGCAAGAACCCTAAATATTCTAATGTGTTAACGAATACATATAATGAATATAAACCGATGGATGAGTGAGATCCAACGGCCAATAATAGATCAATGTTTACAAAATAGATATTTCATGGATCAATGTTTACAGACTGGACAGAAATGCCGTCATTGTTACATCGTTGTTATCGAAAGGCATTCTTCCATCGCCAAGTCCACTCGTCTCAACCATAGAGATCGAGTAGTGGTCAATGCTTGGATCAACACCACACCTCATCGTCCACAAAACTTCTCTCGCCTTGTGAGCCATCCCAGTGTGGCTGCAAAGTCACTCCACCAGGCCTATCAGAATCCCAGCCACTGGAGAAAGCTTGAGAATGAACATACATCCAAAGCCTTCATCTTCATCCATCCACTCTTCGCTCTCCGCGAGGCAGCCAAGCCTGTCATGCAGTCACGAAAGCTGGAGAACCCGGAAGACATCCCTCGTCCTGCATGACCGCAAACAGCAGTAGAGCTTCTTCGCCATCGCCATTCTGTGCGTATCCCAAGGCATCCTGTCGGCCAGCGTCCACCATGCCATACATGTCCACCAGAGCATTCAAGACGAAAACGTCCCGGTTCGCAGCATCGGAGTGGATTCTCGCGCCTTGGGCAGAGCCTTGATCTTCATACTTTCGTCTTTCGCAGCTAGAGCAAGCCTTGAGAGCGACGAGAAAAGTAACACGAGAACAGAAGTAAAGTAGCCAATCCCCGCACGGTTTGGCCTCTGCCCTGAGACTCTTCTTTGAACGCCAGCCCCGCGCACGCCTTGAGAGCAGCGCGGTGCCTCTCGCATCACTCGAACGCTCTCTTCCTCCCCGTGCCCCCTGCGCATCGCTCAATCTTCCATCGCAACGAAAACTCTCTCTGACCTATATGAAACCTAACAAAGGATCATACTTTGATCCCAGTCATAGATTTACTATTTTGGAACTTTGATTTGGAGAGGGGCGCGCGTACGCGAGCCCTCAACTTCCACAAATTACGACGTCCATTTGGGAAGATGGTAGGCTGGCCAAGCCATAGTGCAATGGGAAATCCAAACCTAGGCCATTGGCCTTCATGATCACCAATAGACCCCGTCCAGGTAAGTATGGAGCTTATCCCCAGGCCCTAGCTTATATACCGTTTTAGTGGCCTCAATCCACGCCCCGGCATGTGGGATAGGTTTAATTCCAGGATCCTTTGGTCAAAAAACCTAACAACTGTTGGAGACAAAAAGAACTTTCGAATGTTTTTTGAGAAACAAGGCTTTCGATCGTTTCCTTTTCGCCTGGAGAGCTTCAGTCCACATTGAGGATTTTAGAAGTCGCCATATGCTGCGCCATTCTTCGATCAAAGAGGCGATCAAAGCACTGGCTCTAATCGTTTCCATGCCCTAAATATTCCCAGTTCTTAGGGTTTATCGAGGCGATGGGATCGCCCGCCTTGTTCCTGCTGCTCGTCATCGCGGCGATCGGAGCTTGCGATGGCTATTTTTTAGGAGAATACGTGCCGCTGGCGCGCAGGGGACAGTACCACAACGTGAGTAGAGCTACATTCTCTTTCCCTCTTTTGACGGAAATTTCTTGCTTGCTAGATGCGAACGCCCTGGCACGATTACTTGGGGCGCCATTGCCCTCGATTTGGGATCAACAGAGAGGTAGAGCATTCTTAGATCAGAAAAGAAAGACTAGATTTTCTTTCAGAAAAGTTTACTTCCTCCTAGACAGAGTGCTTTCTTTTTTCGTCTAGAAACCACTTCGGTGTAAATTAGTAGATGTGAGATTAACATTTCTTTGGAGAACACGTAAAATCAGTTTCTTCCTGCTTGAATTCCTCTTTTTATTCCTCGAATCTAACGACCATGAAAACTCTCAGGTTGTTGTCCCAATTCCAAAGCCTGTTGGCTACAGCGGCGCCGACCCCTACAAAATGTACGCCTCTTCTCTATCTCCTTTGTAGCTAAAGTTTGATGCACAGATCTTTGCAATTTGGACACGAGAGGATTACCACCCCATGGCTGTTTATCGTGGGCCGACAGTCCAGCAAAATGCCTATGATTGACGTGACTCTGGTGGGATGTTTAAGTTGTGCAGAAGATGCGTGCTTACTGTTTGTCTGCCAGAGATACACAGGTGGCGATTTGGAAGGCGTTTCTGCCAAAGTCGTCGAGATGCCTGAGGATTGTAAGTAAATCGCGTACCCTTGGATGCCTTTCATGACATGTTTTATTCGTTTGTAGATGTCGCCGAGCACGAAGGGACGTTCAAAGAGTTTTGGGATCCTTCGCAGTGGCCAAAACACGTACTAGTTCGATATAATTGGTACGCTTACGTGGTCACAGAGCTTTTGAGGTGTCGTTTGTGCGTTTCATTGCAGGGAAGAGAAGTCAGAGATTGACGTTGCAACAGGTTTCTACATATTGTTTGGATCTGGTAAGCAGCGTGGTCCTCGATATCGTCTTATCTGACCGGGAACTGGGCGTGCAGCTTTTCTATTAACCTTGGTTATGTCCATTTATATTCTGCAATCGTCCAAGGATAAGCTATCCAGGTAAGCCTCGACTTTGTTATGGCCCCCGCACTAATGAGGTGATAATTGCACAGGTTTGTCAGAGAAAACGTGATTGACACGGGTATAACAATGGAAGAACTCCAAAAAGCGGAATGAAAAAATTATACAGGCCTCGATTTTTTTCTGGACTCTTGGGATCACTAATGTATGTGTTGGAATGGAATCATCTGCAGTAGAGATTGCCACGCAAATCGAAAGGGAAAGGAGCACGTTGCTCGTAGCACTGAGAGAAAAGGTGAGCCTCCTCTTCAAATTGAGTTTTTAGACTCGTATATATCGCAGTGTGTGCTTGGTCGCATATGGCTCGCAGCTGTCAGTCGTAGTCCTCTTAAGCTAGCCGAGCACATTTATTTTTTGAGTCCATTCCTCGTGTGTCGCTGTCGATAGAAGCTCTCATCCTTGTTCCTTTGCTCAGGGTGCTCAACAAGAATTGGTGGCACTAAATTTTGGAGGGAGTTACTGGTGTAAGTAAATGCTCGGCCCAGTCTGTCGATGGTGATGTTGGCTTCGATTCTTTGGCTGGTTTTCTAGTTTTTTTTATTTTTTTTTATTTTTTATATTTTCTTGTCGTACTTCGGTTTTTCTTCAGAAGCAACCCGGATAAATTTCTAGTGTGTTAGGTTTGGTGGATCCTCTTCAAGAAGGAGTGATCTCATCTCCTCTTATCAACTCGCTTGGTTTGTTTTCGCCTTCTTCATGGAAACAGTGACGGAGGCGAATCATCGACAGCATTTACTGTTTAAAGTTCCTGTGGTGATTCTCAACACTGACGCCTGCATTTCAGCTCTGGGCTTCGGCAGCGAGGCACCTGGCTCTGCAAGCGAGATTCAGGATGCTGTTGTCTCGGCTCTGAAGGTAAAGAGCTCACTTTTAGTAGTTTTTCCTCTCGAGCTCACTCGGAAGTGGTGCTGGACGTTTGTGCACAGATGGGCTATCGACATTTCGACACTGCAGCTGCTCATGGCACGGAAGAAGCCGTCGGGAAGGGCCTCAAGAAGGGATTTGTGGATGGCCTGGTGAAACGCGAGGAGGTTTTTGTGACATCTAAGTTTCACCTTCTTGATGCCGGTGAAGTTCGACCTGCTGTTGAAAAGAGCCTCAGGTAATCCCTTCTCATAAAAAAAGCGTCTTTCTGCCTGTGATTCTGGTGGCTTTGCAGCGCTCTACAGCTTGAGTACCTGGATCTTTGCTTGGTCCAGTCCCCATCGAAGCTTCTGAAATCTTGCACATACCCTCCCAATCAGCGGGAGAGCGCTTCCCTTCCATCAAGCGTGCAGGAGATATGGGAGGCTCTCGAAGACTGTGTGCAAAGCGGCCTGACAAAGGCGATGGGTGTTTGCAACTTCTCAGCGAAAAACGTGAAAGAGATATTGGAGAGCGCTAGCGTGGTCCCCGCAGTAAACCAGGTACCGAAACTTTCGCTCTAGTTTTGGAAGTGGCTAAGCAAAAAAAACACTCGATGCAGGTTGAGTTGCATCCTATGTGGCAACAGAAACAGCTCCGTGAGTTCTGTCAGGGTGTGGGCGTTCGTGTGAGCTCATGGCGTCCTTTAGGCGGGCAACCTCCACTCTCAGTTGTTAACAATTCCGTCATCAAAGAAATCGCCGAAACCCATGGAAAGACTCCGAATCAGGTGGGCTATACATTACAGTCGAATGCTCAACTTTGTGCTCCAAATTACAGATTGCGCTCCGGTGGTTACTTGAGAATGGTGTAATCTCAGTAATTCAAAGCTACGATCCAGAGAAACTGCTAGAGTACATAAAATTGTTTGACTTCAAGTTCTCTGTTGAGGATCTTGAGAAACTGGCGAGTCTCGACCAGGATCTACCATTTTATGTGGTTTGATGGTCGAACGCTTTGCGCTTTTTTTTTTTGTTTTGTTTTGTTTTGTTCTTCATTTAGTCAACTGTACAGCACAGTGAGCTTCTTTCTGATTTGCATTTTGTTTTTCTAGCAGATGATTTCCAGCTCTTTTCAAGTCGAAGAGAGGTTTGCTTGTAATTGTTGGACAGTGGTTGTTTGTTCGGTCACCGTTGTTGTAACGTTGTGCACGGTTGAAGGTGGTGGCGCTGGAGGAGGTGGCTCCGATTCAGATGGAGGAGGCGACTGCTGTCCATCAGTCCGACTAGTCCACTGCGAGGAACAAGGCAGGCAAGAATTACTTCTTTTTTTCTTCCTTAGGAAGCTCTTTCCATCATACCATGTCAAGCAGCAACTGGTACTTCAAGTCGAGCAAGTTGAGCCTCTCTCTCAGCTCGTTCATTTCTTGCGACCTCCTTGCGTACTTCTCTAGCTCTTTTCTCTGCAATCACGTCTCTTACTTACGCCTGTGTCTTTGTGTCTCAGGCAGGAAACGAATAACCTCACCAGCCTCCGTCTGTCCTGGCGAAGCTCGGCAATCTCCGCTTGCATGCCTCCGCCGAAGCGGGGGACTCCAAGTCCTGTGCACCCTCCAAACCATCACCACGAAGAAGAAGCAACGAGGCGGGAGAGACCGAGCGACCTGATGTCCACAAGCCTTCCAAGCAGGTAAAGCGCTGGTCGTCGAGTATGAGATCGATAGGCCCGAGTCCGTCCAGCACTGACATGCTTTGCTCGGATCTAATGCATCTCCTTTTTCTGCATTCCAGGTCTTAGAACGAACAAAGCCGCGACCATCAGTTTCAACTCTCGCTCTCACCGGCAGAATCCAAGCACGAAAAGCCTGTGCAACGCCAGTCCCTCGAGGTACCCCCAAATAGCGGCCGCCACTCTCACCATTCTTCGTTTTTTTTTTCCTTGTTATACTTCAACTGGTTCTAGCGACTCTGGTAGTTGCGAACTTCACGGCCAATCTCCACCGTCGACAGCGAATATGCAAAGTAAGACAATTTACGAGGCCTTGCACCCCCTTGCGCGGACTCCGGAAGTTTGCTATGAAAACGGAGACGTTGAAGAAGCCGGGTGGGAGGCTATGTGGACTTGGCTCGCGGTTAACTTCGAAAGGGGGCAATTTGATTTTTCGCAGCGTTTTAATCATAGATATCACTTCCTCCATAGTTTTGGTTACATTCATTCATTCATTCATGCACCTTATACCATGCTATGAACTTGAATTGAGTCGATTCAATCGAGAAAGAGAGATCATCCGGGAAAAATACCGGACGTGTCTGCTCTGTGTGTTTTGAGCAACCATCGCTGTTTACAAGTCTGGCAGCGCATGAGACCGATAGATTTAATAACATTGCTCATTTCAAAGCACGCTAGACTTCAGAACGAAGCTTAAGCTTTTACGTTAACGTGGAAGTCGTGAAAAGGAGAGGCGGACACATATGTGCCTCGCTTCCAACCGGATTTGGGCGCGCGGCACTATAAAAGTTCGTGCCAGTGTCTGTCCAAGGCACAGCGAGAACACAAACAGCAGCACACTCATGTAATATTGCAGATCATGTGCTGGAACTTGTCAAGAAGCTTCATCCATGCACGAGGATTCTTTTGAGTAGGTGGACCTTGGAAATATGATCCCATTACGAAAGATATCAGATCAATGACTCTTAGAAGCTTGGTTTTGATCCATATTTAAGTTGGTTGCCTGAGTGCCGGAAATAATTGCACTCGGGCATTTCGTTGAAGATTCTTGCTGCAGCTAGCTAAAACAAAAACAAAAACCAAATCCATTTCATTCCAGAAAACACACTAGTGCTTTGGAAAGAGACCTCAGCCAGAGGCCAGCTTCTTAGAGGGACTATTCGCCATCAATTGACCCGGGAGCAATTGAGCCGGATCTGTCCATTCGGAGCTTGGAGCGGGCTCTCGTTCCCCATGTTGATCATCCCAGTCACGAAATCCAGGAAGAAGCGCGTCTGGTTGGATGCATAAGTCCACACCAGCGACTCGGCAGTGGAGTTGCCACCGATGGCGAGCGTCTCGTCCGAGAAGAGCACCCCGGTGCCGTTCAAGAGATCCACGAAATACTTGTTGTCGAACACCACCGGCGTGAGCTGGTCCAGATCCACGAGATTGTTGTCGCTGGAGCTCACGTTGGGGCACTGGCCCTGCAGCGAAGTGTTGAAGGTGGGATTCATGGCGTCCGGGGCCTGGAAGGGGCCGTAGAGGCGGGGCTTGAAGCTGGAGCAGTGGGATTTCCCGACGGTGTGGGCTCCAGAGAGGGCGACCATGTCCTGGAGCGACAGGCCGTGGGCCTTGAAGTTTGCGATGAGCGCCGAGACGTTGAAGGTGGGAGGTGGGAGGTTTGTGTTCGCTGCCGACTGGCTCGCGTTTAGGCTGTCCCTTCGTCCGAAGAGGACGCTCCAGGATGGGCCTCCAAGCTGCACGTAGCATGGAAAATCAATTAGTAAATGATCATGGGATATATCATTGTTGATATACGCACTGCGGTGACGCATTGTTGGGCGATCAAGACGAGCTCGTCCGCGCAAGACACCTTCCCGGGGCACTGGGCCTCGATGAGAGCCTTGATGTTGTTGACAACGTCGTATCCTCGCACCGAGTTTATGTTCGGGAACGCGTTCTGCTCGAGGCTCGCTCCGGCCAAGAGAATCGACGCATCGCAGCCCTGCATATGATCCATTGAATTCCAGAGTTTATATCATTTAAAAGAAGGAAAATGCGATGTTCGAGCTTACGTTCACATGACAATCGTGGAAGAAGAGGCGGATTAGCGAAGCACACATTCTGGGTTCGGACGCAACGACCTGCTGCACTGCGGCATGCACGATGTTGGTGAGATTCGGGCATGAGGTGGCGTAGAACGAGGAGCTGAGAGCTCCCAGTGCACAATCACCTAGGCTTAAAGCTAGGAATGCAAGGAAGAGAAGTTTACAGGCCATGAGAAACTGATATATTTGTGAAGGAGGAGATGGGATGTTAAGTTTGCATTGGTTGAGTTTTTATACTACTGACGATGATCTTTGATAATCGTATCTGGCACAACATGCTTGATTCTCCCACCTTTTTTCCCGGAAAATTGCGTGAAGTAGCGTGATCTTGTAAACTCCCCATGACTTACATAATTTTTTATATTGTTTTGGTGAAACAACTTTAGCAACTTGCTTTAGAATGGTAAACATGTTTATAGATAAATTAATCTATGTCGGCATATACTAAGAACATTCTTCCCAAGAACAGTAAGATCGATCGAAGCGCACAAAGATTGCGAATGGCGCCTTTAGAATCATCTGTTTTGCTGCTCGTCATCCGCTCCCTCCTCCTCCTCCTCCTCCCCCATCGCGCAGCCATCGCGATGAGTCGTCCTCGAAATCTGGATCGGACTTCCGCCCTCCCAGGGGATAGGAAATTTCCTTCTCGATCGATCGACGCTTGATCAGGCTCGTTTGCAGTACTCCGTAGGCGAAGATTTCAAAGTGCGCCTAAGCCCTAACTAACAAATGACTTTTTCTTTCGCGCTCATTTGCTCACTTTTTCAGCTGACATTGGAAGGGAGCGAGGAAAAAAGAAAGAACCACCATGGACGAATACGTGATGCATATGACTCGTTCCAATCTCTTGGAGGTTTTGCTGGAAGATCTCCCGATAACAGCCAAGGTAATCAAGTACTCATTCGCAATCGAGAGTCAAAAATCTCTCTCTCGTCTTTTCTTTCTTCTTGTTTTGTAGAAAACCACTGTAAGCAGGATGATGTACGCTGCGAGGAATGTTTCAAAGGAGAATGACAAGGAGCGACTCACAGGTATAAAATTCAAACGATCTCTGTTTCTTACTCACGTTTTGTTGTTACTTTCGTGTAGAATATCACAAGGAGGTTTTAGAACAAGCTGCTGAACACATTGAAAGAGTCTCGGGCTTTCTCCTCATTTATCCAACATGCTGCCTACATTTGGTCGAGGTTTGCTCGTTTGTTGGCTTTTTACTGATAGAACATTGCCCTTTCAGGCGGAGACTCCAGTCTTGATTGAGATTTTGAAGGTTCTGGATTCAGATACCAGATACATAGACTCGGTTTCAGTGTTTTCATTTACCGAAGACGTCAGTTCTTATCGTTTTTACTTGTGTTTTTTGGGACGCTGACAGTGAGATTGCTCTCAGGTTCCCTATAGACTTTTCATGGGCTGGATGAACGGCTTCATCATCTCAGCCAATCTGGGACCTTACGAAGCTCATCCACGAAACACGCTCGTCAACGCTGTAAGATTTTTGCATTCCTTTCCTATTTTTTGGAGGCGATTTAGTACTTTGTTTTTCAGATGTCGGAGTTTAACATCAACATGCTCAAATGGGGGAAACAGCTCTCTGAAATGGACAGGGTAAGAAGATTGATATTTTATCTCAGTCCCAGATTTCGAAAGAACTTTGCTGCTGTACCAGGAGCAACAAACGGTGGCTCTCGAGTCCATAAGAACCGCAGCTGAAGAACTTCTTCCCGACGACGCTGGAATCATCTATGGAAGTGGGTAGTGAAAACCAAAAATCTCTTGTTTGCTTCAAGCGTTTTTTCTGGTGAATAGTTATATTGTGTGAGGACGTGCCGAAGCTCAAAGAAGTTCTAGAGCTGTTTGACAAACGGCAAGCCACGATAATGTACGACGCGGATCTCGTCTGGCCCAAACCCCAGCTACCGTACAAACTGCACTAAGTTTGGCCGAAGTAATCGTACGGCCTGGTCTGTTGTACGTAAGCCCTAAACCCTCTTTGATGATGGATGAAGAGGGGACTTGGATTGAGGCTGCGTGAAGAAGATTGGCCGGAGCACTTCGCTAATCCATGGTGCTGCTCGCGATTCGTCTCCTACTGCACGGCCAAGCGGATTCCACTGCAGCAGTGCGATGATCTTCGTAATTCCTTGTCAATCAAGTGCTGTGACGCGTCGCGATTTGGCGGCCGCGAGCAGCAGGGGAGCTCCTGCTGCCTCGAAGCCGCTTGCTTGAGCTGCATCTCGAATTCCAGCGGGCAGCTCGCGGGCCTGGATGGATTCCTCGCCAAGGCCGGAAAGTTCGAGGGCTTGTGGGCGAGGGTGAAGGCTAAATGGCGGGGAATGTCCAAGATCCAGGACAGGTGCTTGCTGGTTCTGGATAAAGAAAAGCTTGCCAAGGCCTGCGCGAGCAGTGCGGTTGTGGAGAAGATCCGAGGATTCGTGTTTGTTCCAGAGCCCAGCGTGGCAACCACCATAGGTTTCCTGGAAAACAATCTCGGGCTCATTGCTCATTCAGGAGGGTCTTGTGTTGCGTTGGTTGGATGGGACGAAGGTGGCTGGATCATCGAGGGCACACCCTCGAAATTAAGCTACGAGAGTAATCTGTCAATGATCCTGGTGCTTCTCGTGTAGTAGAGATTCGTCAATGCAAATTTCTTCCTTGCGCAAGTGAGAAGGTGGAGAATCACCGCGGGAAAAACTTGCACGCCATTGCCAAAGCTTATTGGAGCTTAGGGTCACTCTGATCTATTGATTCTATTTCGGGCTCCATAATTGCTATTAAAGAATAGCAACTATTTTGGGAAGAAAATTAAACTGTAAGTTCAAATAAATTACAACTAGTAGATTGCTATAGCACTGCAAGGCATACGCTCACGAATCCGCTCACCTGAATGCGCTTTTAGATGCCAGATTGCACACATATCGAGCGGACTATGCGGTTGCTGTGGAAGCTTTGCATGGCTGGGGGCGGCATCAGACACTCTTCCAGGAGCCAGCAGCTCTAGGACGGTGCGTCCATGAGGTTTCCAGCATTCTATCATCATGGAGGCCCGATACAATCTACGGCGGAATAGGAAGCTGCTTGGGGGGCTCGTCCTCAGAGTGCATGAAGGCCTCCTTAGCTGTGAAGTACCCGTCCTCTTCCTCCTCGGCCGTACAAGAGTAATGTGGCGGCTTGCAAGATTCCCACAAGACACTTGCAATTGAGGCAAGATGGTGGACAGGAATGCCGAAGGGTACAGATTGCGAACTACTAGCCAAAGTGGCAGCCGACGGAGGAGGGTCTCGGAGCTCCTGATGCCCCTGCAACCACCATTCGGCCATGACGCTGAGTAAAAGCCCCTCCACTCTGTGTGCCGTGGAGGAAATCCAGAAATCTGCAAGGCGAGAGCATAACGACATTGGGGAGAGAACAATATGCTCACCTCAGCACTGGACGCCTAAAGTCCGTGTTCATCAGGTCCCCGATGAAATAGAGAACCACACCTTGTCCGGCGTAAGTTCGTGCTCGACCTGTGTACTCCTGTGCTACTCTCCAAATACGTAATTCTAGTTCATATAAGGCTTATACGCCAAAGAGGAAGAGGGAAAGGTCAGAGCTCAAAGAGGTGTTCCAGACGTTTGGCTTTCCTCGTATACAGCAATAAAACAACAAGGGCTTTAATTTCACGAAAGTCTTGGCAATAAATCCTTGGCTTGCTCTCTCACCAAAACAGCAAGGTCGGAGAAAATCTTATGCACTTCTCCTACGTCATTGAGTACCGTCTTTGCTCGACTAGCATTCGTTCCAGATCAACCGTCTTCAAGAAGCTCGTCAATAATTTTCTGAAGTACGCAAGTCCTGGAACATTTGTCGACTTTGCTTGCTTCCTTCACCGTCCAGTCACAAATTGCAGCAACATATTGGGAACATGGTGATGGACACCTTGAATGCGTGACGTGTAAGATCATCTTCTTACAAATACGAAGATGCAAAGCTTGCAAGAATTGAGTCAAAGCTGCCGAATGGAAAGCAGCGGACCCTTCGTCCTTCGAGGACATAAATAAAGTTTCCGTCTTATTTCATATAGCGCTGAGCTTCACTGGCTGGTGGCAACACAAAAAAATGGGGCTAAAAGTAATTCTGCCGCGCATCTCCTTGTTTTAGGGCTATACAAGGCAATGGAGGCAGTGATAGTCGGATGCGACTGTATGTCGTGTGCTTGCCGGAGATAGGGGGAGTGCAGGACCGAGTTGTGTTAATTTTCCACGTAGCTTATCCGAGCGTAACAGATATTTCTATTCTGTACATCTCGAACTTCGCCGATCTCGACTCATGGATCACATTCTCTGGAGCTGTCAACGTTCGGTACTGAGCTCGCATTCACAAAGTAAGAATATGTGCATTGTACTTTTTCAAAACAACGGTGGTTCTTTTGCAGGATGAATGAAGAGCTGCGGGCTCTGGTAGGAACATCAGATTGCTGGGTATGTTCTTGTCAGATGGATTACTGCTGTTGCTGTAAATGTTTGGTTTGGTTTTGGTTATAGGATTGGTGTGCGCGAAACGTGGTGCTTGGAGACTCACATGTGTATGTGTTTGGCGAGGCCTTTGCGTCGGTGATGCTGTGCCGAAGTGGGAAGGACGAGATGCTGACCCGTCCAAGTTCTCTCTACCGTCTCAAAAATGCTAGTCCCCCGCAAAGTAGCAGTGAACCTTTTTATTACCACAAGGGCCTCTTTTTGAAATTTGTTATTCTGAAGCTTGTGGACGCAGGAGTGGCTGACTACAGCAGACTCCTATCTTCTCGTTGCATCAGCGCACCTAAATTGTCACATGGATGGCGATTATAATAGCGTTCTCACCACTGTATACTCTTGATCTGCAAACGAGCTTGTAATGTGCGAACTAGTACAGGAGGAAGCTTGCCGCCAGGTTGCCGTAGGGACCGATGAATGCAGGACATTCGCACTAGTTCCTGTTGGAGAGCTGCTGTGACAGAAAGTGGCCAATGGAGTAGAGGACAAAGAGGAAGACCCAATCGATTTAAATCCCGAGCCTGTGGATGAATCTGAGTCTGAAGATGAAGATGAGTCTGAAGACGAAGAAGCGGGAAAAAGGACTAAAGCAAATCGAAAAGAGAGAAAGGTTTGATCTATCTACTGCATGCTTTTGTTCATGTATTTTCATAGATCGCCTCTTCTAGAATAAGGAGGATCTGGAACTATTTCACGTGTGTGTGAGTCGGCAACAATTCGCTCCAACAGTCCCAATGACCAAAGCATGAACTCGGCTGAAAGAGAAAAAAAGAGGACCAAAAAAAAAAAAAAAAACAGAGAAAAAAGAAACTAACAGTACCGCCAGGAATAACCCGTGACGAGTGGAAGCACACACTTTCGGATGATTCCAAGGCTTACATCACACTGCATGGATCAGACTACAAGCCAAAACCAACCAAAAGCCTAGCTCCAAAGACCAACATGACAAAAAAAAAAGGGCCCACTTGCAAAGTCACAGGTTAAAATCAACAATTATTTGAAACCTTGCATTCTTTGATCAGTGTCCAAACAGGGGTCCCCATTGACGCTTCCAAATCTTCCATTCTCTCCACACCCTAGAAGTCCTCCAATATCTCTCTCCCACACACCAACTGGATGGACTTGGTTTTTTGCCGATTTCTCCCCTTGCAAGCTTTTCTCCGTGTGTGCGTCCAAAGAGCCCATTGACTTCTCTCCAGCTTCTCTTTCTTCTGTTCTTCTCTGACCCATCCAAACCAAACTTCCGTGTAAGAACCCCTGTGACTTGTTGGCTGGCGGCCTCCAAATCCAAGTTGGTGAAGCCTCGCGAACATCACAAGCTTTTCCTCTGGCCTTCTCCAACGACCGAGTAAATGCGCGTCGCCCCCCAAGCTCAAGATCATCCATCCAGCCTCTCGTGGACTCCAGGAGAGTTTTAGCGTGATCGCCGATGATCAACCAAGCTGTGTATCTCTTCCTGGATCCATATTATATCACCCTGGAAGCGGTCGTGCGTTGTCCGCGTGGTGGTGTAGCGCGTAAGTGACCGCGTCACTCGCTCTCCGGGGGCTTACTACAAGCACACCGGGCAGCGGATGAGCCCGTTCTCGTTGCAGTACGAGCAGCGGACCACCACGCCCGAGCCCGAGAAGTCGCCGACGCCGCCGCCAAACACCACCACCTTGCAGCTGCCGCTACACTCGAGGCACGGCACGAACCTCACGCCGCCGCACCCCTCGCACGTCGCCACCGAGCTCTGCCGCGGGAGCCCCTCCACCAGCCGCCCAATCAGCCCGTCCTCGTTCATCTGGCTCACCTCCTCCACGCCTCCAACGTATCGGCCCCCGATAAACAGCCTGGGAACCGGCATTGGCGGCGCCGGGGAGCCCTTGGCGGCGGCGTTCTTGCGCTCCGCCACCTCCACGAGCAGCTCCTTGAGCTCCTGCCGAAACTCCGCGTGCATGGACACGTCCCGCTCGTCGATGGCCACCCCGAACCCCTGGAGGATCATGCGCACCTTGCCGCAGTCCTCGAACGTTTTCCTGATGCCCCGCAGGCTCGTCACGTACAACACGGCTCTCCTCTCCCCGCGAGGCGGGCACACGGCAGCCAGGCCGTCGAGCAGCGTCTTCTCCTCCACCTGGTCGATCGCCAAGACTTTGCTCGACATCATCTTCTTTGAGACCACCGGCGGCGCCACCTTTTGGATCGAGCGCTGCTGCTGCTGCTGCTGCTGCTGCTGCTCGCCTTGCCCCTCCTCCGGCTGCTGGAACGTCTTGAGCACCTCCGGGTCGAACAGGGACGACGATTCCTCCCAGTCGCCACACGAGGACGAGGCGTCGTATGAGCTCGAAGAAGACGAGGAAGACGAACTGGTTGATGCCACTGTGGCGATTGAAGTGCTCTGTGCTCTCAGCTCCTCCAATGTAGCCCCGTAGAACAAGCCCTTCATAGATTTCGGGCTGTGGATGATCCCCCTGGCCGGGCTCGACTTGACCGAATTGCTCTGGAAATCCTCGCGGCTCTTCCTGTAGCGGAAAAAGACCTGTTCCTCCTCGTCGGCCACCCCGCGGCTGATCGAGTTGAGCGCGTCCAAAGCCCGCAGCTTCTTCTCGAAATTCGGCAGCGCCAGTGCCACGCTCCTGATCTTCACGTCCAGCTCGCGCATCGAGTCCACCGAAGAGATTGACCGGCTGAGCGCCCTGCTCCTCATCGCCCTGCGCTTGCTTACCATGCTCTTGTGCCGGGAGCCAGCGGAGCTGTCCTCCTCGACATTCTCGGTCTCGTCCGTGAGGTCCTTCATCAACTCCCAGAGATCGATCACCTCGGCCTCAGGGACGCTGGGCAGCGCCGCCGGTTTAGAGAGGTGGAGTGGAGCCGGCGGAGAAGCCTCGATCCTCCCCTCTAAATCCTTGGCGCCCGCTGCCAAGGGAGCTGCCATGGCTGCTTCTTCTTCCTTCTCCCCATTCTCGATGCTGGCGTATCCAATTCCATCCTCGTCAACATCGGGGATCTTGAGAGCGCCATATGTGCTCGACGTGAGCGCGACCGAGTGGAACCGGAGGGGCTGGGGAAGAGACTTTTGCTGCTGACGAAGGGGCATCGACAGGCTGCGCACAAAGCTCCGGGAAATCGGTGGATTCCATCCATCCCTCCGCGCCTGCATTTCCAAGCTCTTGGACGACGAGCAGCCCATGGCCGATCACTGCGAAGCTGTGATTTCCTGTCTAGGATCGACCCCGCTGCTGTGAAATTCGGCCCCGGACCCTACCGCGCGCATGCATTGATCGATCGCTGCTCGGATTTGGGGCGGATTTCCCCAGCTGCGCGGAGCGGCCGAAGCATTGCGGGCTGTTTTGTCCCAAGATCAAGAAAAACCCGGCCCTAGCAGCGATCCAAGACGGAGTAACTCCTCGAATCCGCGAAATCCAGCGGCCAGAGGCGAGAAAGATTGGAAGAGGGAACAAACCAGCTCCAAAATATTTGGGGGATTTCCCTCTCGCGCGATTGCTGCCGATGGCGATGCCGGCGATGGAAGATCAAACCATCAATGAAGAGCGAGTGAAGAGATCGTTTATCCGCCCCGGTCCTCCTCCCGCATCGTTGCGCGCATTGAATTCCTTTCCTCTCCACGACGAAACGAGCGAAACCAAAACGAGCAAATACGCTACAAATGAATCTCTCCTCTTATAAGTGGAGCCCCAGAATGAATGAGCCACCCCTTTCAAACCAGTCCCCTCGCCATGCAAGCCCATGGCTATAGCTTCCCATTCCCCAGCGCATGGGACAGTGCCGGGAGTGGAAAGCTTTAGCCTGGGAGCTCAAAAGCCCTGGACAAACTTAGCGTAGCTACCTCTGGCGAGACCTCGGACAAATGCCACAGCTCTATACTTGCCAAAGTTCCTTTGGTAAAGTCTCGAGAATTCTAGTCCTGTTGCGCTAAATGTAGCGGACCGCTATCTCTCTCGTTGGTCACATACGACGGCGCAGCAGCGTGTATGCTCGCGTGAATGGTTGAATGGTTGAATATACCGGGTCATACGCCTTGGACTTTCTTGGATTCCAGTGATCGGCGGTTCGATTCCTGGGAAGCTCACACCGCGTAACAGAGTGTTTTAAGCTTGTGTGTAAAGTGCAAGCTTCTGGCTGGCACTAGTGAAGTACAACTGGATTCGAATGGGTGAATATCCCATTTCCAGATTCCAGTACTTTGCTTTGTTTGTTAGATCACGCATCACAGCTTTCGGGACCATGGTTTGATTTTTTCGTCCGTTGGAAAGATAGAAATTCTTTTCTAGCTCCGTGGGGTGTGTTTGTTTTCAATCATGAAGGATTCCTTGAAGCACTTAAAAACTTGTCAAAGTTCTTTGAGCCTTGGATTCCAGAATTTTCTTATCGAAGGCTTAGCTCGAGGAGGTCTGTAGCAGCAATCCAAATATCCAAATCCAACAGTAAAAGCTCACACAGATCTACGCAAGCCTTGCCGGTAAAAAGCGAGACCATGAAAGCGATTGAACGACCACCAGATTTTCAGATTTTCTGTGTCGGAGAGAACCAACCATCCTTGCGTAAACTCATCTGATTAAACTTATAAACACCCTTTAGTGTACAAACAGCCCAAAACCAAGAACAAAAAACAGAGCAAGACGACTACAAAGAATCCCATCACACATACCTCCCTCCCTAAACAATTTTGTTCACACCCTTCACTCGTGAATTATCATGTTTAGCCTGCGCAGCCACACCGAATGAAGTATCATGTTGAAAACATCGTACCTCTCAGGAGGCTGGTTGAAGCGAAAATGCCTCCTGACTTTGGAAACTCTCGCCTGCATTTCAAGATACCTGGCCGTGGGAATCGCCTGGAGGATCGTCTTGAGCCGCGGTATGTCCCTCTCCAGCACCTTGACGGAGAAGGCGTCCCAGTCCAAGACATCGCTGAACGGAAGAACGAAGTCGTCCGCTATCACCACCGGAACACAGTCGTTGTAAATGGCCTCGACAATGCGAGGGCTGTTCACCTCGTAGCCCCCCGGACACAGGCAGTACTTGCTGTGGCTCATGTAGTCGAGGTATGCGTCTCGAGATGGCAGCTTCTCAAAAACCCGGACGTCCTCGTCCTTCTCCTTCCAGTACTTGAAGAGAACTGGCCTGACGGGGCCGTGGTCGCCACCAGCGAAAAATGCCAAGTACCTGCGCTCCTCCGGCGGTGGCCCCCCAAGAACGCTTGGAACTTGGCCGCCGACGAGGTGGATTTCCGGAAGGCTTGCGTCCTTGCTCGGCACGTAGCCTTCGGACGTGTTTGCGTTGCAGAGCACACGGATCGAGTTTGCCATCAAGTCCGGATGTGCTCTGGAGATATGAGGTCCCTGAAAGAAGATAAGAGAAAGAGACCGTGAGAAGAACAAGAAACACGTATCTTTGGACGATGAAAGCTTACCCAGTCGTGGCAGGAAACCATGAAATGATCGGCACCCCTGCTTCGATTCCAGGCAGAGTATCTGTGGCTTATCACGTCGATGTAGTCCCTTGTAAAACGCCCCAGTGGTCCCATGTCGTGCGATCCGGGCGTGTAAAGATAAGTCACCATCATGGCCACGCTGAAGGGGAGAAAAAACAAGTGCGCCTTCTCAGGATCGGAGGTCAGGTAGCTGTTCTTCCCTTGAAGCTCTTGAATGAATCGCCCTTCGATTGCATAGATCTCCTTACACGGCCCGTTGTGCACCAGGGGTTCTTCTCCTTCCGGGTACGCAAACACCTTCAGACGTTTCTCCATTTCTCTATAGCTTCTGCAAAATCGAGAGTTTGAAACCGAGCACAAAATTGCATTTTTTCTGTTTTGTTCTCACTGTTGGAAAATCGTAGCGTTGAGGTATACATCAGGCGAAAGATCGTCCTTTTCTTGAAGTCCGTGGATCACTGCGCTTCTTATTGCGGCTCGAGCATGGCTCATGCCGGCTTCAAGCTTTTGCAAACTAGTAAGCTCCGCATCTGGTTTCTACAAATCACAATACAGCACTTAACAATTCAACTTCAAAACGAAAAGCAAAAGCATACCTTTGGAGCTTCTCGTCGAACCGGAGAATAGCTAGCCGGTGCTGGTCGAGAGTTTTTAGTCTCGGGAAGAACTTTGTTCTCTGCTTCAACGTCAGGTGGTGATGGCTCTTTCGCTAAAGTTCTCTGCCATTCCTTGGTCGCCTCGGCAATGGCCGCCTCTGCCTCCTCGGGGCTTACAATCCTCGCGTGGTGCCTGGTATCATTGACGCCCGTGAGCGAGCTAGTGAACTTAGAGTAAGCCCAGGGAACTGATAAAAGTCTCCATGTGTACGAATCGAGGACGACGAAGACGGAGACGAGGAGCAGCGCAATCACAATGGCGGAGCGAACGTTGCAGAAGGCACTGCTCGTCAGTGCTCTCATTGCTATGTATCAGCCTTTGGCTTGGAACTTTGTATCCATCAAAGATTAATTTACCTGACAAAAGCGAGATAGATTCGTTACTGGAAAAAATTTAAGATGATCAACACAGATACATGGATTTAGAAACAAAAACCAGATGGATTCGTTACTTGTGAAGCATTCTCTAGCGCTGAATCTAACTCGGGGAAGGTAGAGAGAAAATGCAAAGCAGGAAGAGATTTTGGTCATCGAAATATCTTGAGATTCGCTCGAAATTAGTCACGACACAGCATTTGGACGATCGATCGAATGAGAGAACTTACACGAGGATCCAGCAGATCTGAGATCGACGCCTAGAATGCTGGGCGCCACCTCCTCGCCTTCCTCCTCCTCCTCAATGCTCCTGCCATGGGACGCAAAACAATAGTCCCGTGAGACCTAGGTAATGAGCTCTCTCGCTCTCGTGGATGTCTATCTTGGCAATAACACGAGTCACCCAGGAGTCGAACCCGCGACCACTGCTTTGATTTGCACACCAAGCCATGGATCTCAGTTAACTCCAACGCAAGCAAAGGAGCTCAAACTTTCAAACTCAAAATGTCAAAGACTCGGATGAAGAGAATGATACAAAATTCTCCCCGTGATTTGGTGCTTCCCCTCTCATTTTTTGTGTTTTTTTTCTCTCTCTCTCTCTCTCTCTCTCTTTCATTCTTCTTGAAGATGATCGATCGGGACGAATGGGATGATGGATGAATCAACGCTGCATCTTGCGCAGTATGAGAACGCTTGCCTCCATGAACCTCTGGGCGCAATTGGTGAGACAATTGGTTTCGCTGGAACTGAACTTCCCGGATGGAGTTCCAGTGATGCATTTCTCCCAGCACACATCGGTGAGCTTCCCGACGAGCTCGTTCACCATCGCCTTCTGCTTCTCTTGCTGGGAAAGAAGAAAAAAAATTTATAGAATCAAAACTCAAGGACTAAAGAAACCAGTGTGCCAAGCAATGGAACAGGCAGAAAAGATTAAGAGAAAAGAAATCTTTTGAGTCGCAGCAAAGCAAGGCTCTCGACCAAATGAAAAACTATCAAAACCCTATCAATCGATGCCACGAAAAAATGCAATGCGCTGCGCGATACGCACCTCGAGGAAGTTTTGGAGCTCGGGAGACATCGAGTGCTCCTCCATCGCTAGGCGCAAGGCGAATCGACGAAGGAGAGGAACCAAATACCCTAAAACCCTATAAACCCTAATGTCCCCAGGAATATTATTTCATTCCTCGAGCGGCCATGTCGCTCCTGCTTGGAGGCGCCAAGCTCGTCACAATCGATTTCTCCAGGCCCTCCATCCAGGTTTCCGGTAGCGCCAGGAGAAATGCCGCTGCGGCAACGATCTGCAGTGCTGAATCCGCCTCCGCAAGGCGCTCCGGTTTGCCGATGGCGATGGCGAAGCTCGCCATGGTTCCTCTCTCGGTGCTCTCAGTGAGCGCTTCTTGCCCGGATTTAGGTGCGTTTGCTTACAATTCTTCGCATTCTCTTAGGATCTTGCTTGCTTATCGCGAAATAATTGCAGCACAAGCTGGAATTCTCTCTGGATATCGCGGCTGGGACTTCCAGCTCCCCCAAATTTCGGTCCCAGATTCGCTCAAAGAGAATTCAGGTCTTACATTTTGCTCTTATCTCCCCCTTGATTCTTGTTTCTCTTTCTCTTGTTTTCTCCCTTCCATCGCCAGAGAAACAGAGAAAGAAGTATGAAGAATTCGACTCAAACATGAAGAATTCCCCGCTGATCAAGGAGCTGCTCAAGCGATCGAAGGACAACGCTGCCAAGTAAGTCCTCTTCTTGGTTCGTACGTCTTTGCGAACTTCGGAAAACCTTTCCAGGCGCAAGCAAGAGATTGAAGACAAGTACTGCGAGCGCCAAGCCGAGTGGGGAGTGGGCGACTGCTCGCTCGAGTATTCCACTCCAGAGGAGAAGGAAAAGTTCCTGGAGCTCATGAAGAAGAGGCGGGCCGAGACCGAGAAACTGGGCGACGCGGTGGCGCAAGAAAACAAAGAGGAGGAATCAACGCAACCAACAGCAGGCACTCCTCTCGCTCAAGAAAACCAAGAAGGAACAACGCAAGCAAGGACGAACGCGTCGGTCGCGCAACAAGAGAACGACGAGGGAACAATGCAAACAACAATGGACTGAGCGAGAAAGATCTCATGAAATTCCAAGTCAAAACAAGCCCTAAACGGTCACAACTGTCAAGTTAGGGCTCTGGATTGGGCTGCCACGTGGAATTAAACCTATCCCACATGCCGGGGCGTAGATTGAGGCCACTAAAACAGTATATAAGCTAGGGCCTGGGGAAAGGATCCATACTTACCTGGACGGGGTCTATTGGTGATCATGAAGGCCAATGGCCTAGGTTTGGCTTTCCCATTGCACTTTGGCTTGGCCAGCCTACCATCTTCCCAAAGTGGAGGAGTGGACGTCGTAATTTGTGGAAGTTGAGGGCTCGCGTACGCGCGGCCCTCTCCAAAATATTAACACTAAATTGACTGGATTAAAACTGAAGTTATTGTCACTACTAAACTTTGGTTATTATAAGCACTTTGTAGAAAACAAATATTGTCAGATAAGTTTGTGACAAATTTTAATAGTAACAAATACCTTAGTAGCGGGCGCTTTGCATCCTCGTTACTGCTACCACGGCTGGGAATCCAGCCTGCTGGAGCAAGGGATCGACGTCTTCCACACCGACGTGATTGAAAGCCAAAGGGGCTCCATCGCCAGCTCCTTGGATCCGGACATTGGGACCTTGTCCACACATCCCCATACACTTACACGAAGTTGCCGAAGACAGTGAAGGCGAGGAAGAAGAAGAGATCTTTGCTTGGAACGCGGCTAAAACTTGCTGAGAGCCGGCCTTTCGACACTTCCCACCCGTGCAAACCTCCACTCTCGCACAAACCGGCGGCGCTAGAACGCATTTCCCCCCATTCACTTGTTCCAGAGAGGCTTCGCTGGCCACAGCATCGATTATGGATCTTGGAGAGGCTGCTGCTCGCAGCTCCTCCCGGAGCAAGCTCATGTCAAATCGGCTGCTACCGCACTCGCCACCTGACGAATCCGAAGACTCCGAGCTCGAAGACGACGATTCCTTCTTCCTCTTCTTCATCGCCGGCCCCGCCGCCATCGCTGACTGCTTCTTCTCCTTTTCCTTCTTGCATTTGAGCTCTTTCTTCTTAGCCTTGGCCTTGAGCTGGAGCTCCTCGAGCTGCCGGATCACCTCCTGGACGGACTCGTCGTCCACTGTTGCCATCTCAAACTTACCGGCGAAGCCGCGCGGGCTGGAGGTCGCCGAGCGCCGCTGCTTCCTTGGCCGCGCGTAGAACACGACATGGCTTTGATCCGCGAACCGTGCGTTGCGGCAAGCTGCGAGGCACGATCTTCCGCGCCCTAGCGACGATTGGCGCCCCACTGCTGCTGGATGCGACCCATTCCCGCGGCCGAGAGACAGAAACCCTGCAATCCTGTGCACTGCTGCCGAATCCATCGCTCTCTCCTTGCCCCAGGAACCCTAAAATGGGGGTACGGCAAAACGAAGAAAACACGTGTCAGCAATTCAAGGAATATGCTTGGAGCTGTAAAAACCCTTCTATGACGCAAGCCCTAGGGAGCTTCCCGGGTAGTTGCTAAGATTTCAAACATGGCGCATCGTGGCCGCCCAATGCAGGATATCGACGGTCCCATTCCCGCCAGCGGGGTGTCGTCCTCCTCTCGGGAGGCACAAGCCAGGAATGACCATGGTTCCATTGTGGCAGCACTCGCCCATTTTCTAGGGTTTCACAGAATGTGATGGTGGCGGGAGAGATTTTCTGGTGTTTTGGAGCAAGGGGAATCGATCCAGGAGGTATGGTTATGGCGGTTCCTCCTCTGAGCTACAAGAAAAGATGGACGAGAGCCATCTCTGGCGATGGATGCGCTTGAGGAGAAGCTGTGGCGGCGATTTAGCTTGTTTTTGCAATGGAACTAGTCGCAAACAAGTACAAGCTTGGTCGGAAGCTTGGCAGTGGCTCGTTTGGGGAGATTTATTTGGGTAAGTGGCTCAGCTTGCGTGGATGAAGCTTCGAAACTTTTTTCTTTCTTTTTTTTTTCTTCTCCAAGGAACGCATGTACAAACTCATGAAGAAGTGGGTGTCAAATTGGTAAACTTTTTGCTGTTCAAGGTCTCCGCGAGGAGTGCTCATTGTAAGTTCTCTTGCTCTTCAGGAAAATGCAAAAACAAGGAATCCACAGCTTCAATACGAATCCAAAATTTACAAGAGTCTCCAAGGAGGAAGTACGTGATAATCAGAAGCCATCGTTCTTTAAAAGTCACCTTAAAGGAGTCGGATCTTTTTTCTGTCAGCTGGCATTCCCAGTTTGAGATGGTTTGGGGTTGAGGGTGACTACAATGTGCTGGTCCTTGATTTTCTTGGCCCTAGCTTGGAAGATCTTTTCAACTTCTGCAACCGGAGGTTTTCGCTCAAGACGGTTCTAATGCTAGCGGACCAAATGGTAACGAGGCCGCATTTTTTTGTTTTCATCTTTGCTAAGGCTTTCTACTTTTGTGTAGATCTCGAGGCTGGAGTTCGTCCATTCCAAAAGCTTTCTTCACCGTGACGTGAAGCCTGATAACTTTTTAATGGGCCGAGGCAAGCGAGCAAACCAGGTGAGCCCTTGAGTTCTTCGCTTTAAGCAAGTTTTGGTGACTTCCCACGCTGCTTGCAGGTTTTCATCATCGATTTTGGGCTCGCCAAGAAGTATCGGGATCCAAACACTCACCAACACATCTCATACAGGTTAGCAAGTACGTTTTTCTCCCGTTTTCATTCATTTAGCTCGATGTTTGTTGATCGATACATGGTGCTGACGATATAGGGAGGACAAAAGCTTGACAGGGACTGCAAGATATGCCAGTATCAACACTCATATTGGCATTGGTACGTTCAGTTCCTCAGCACAGCTTTGTAACTCGGGTTCCTCCTCAGAGCAAAGCCGGAGGGATGACCTTGAGTCTCTTGGTTACGTTCTACTCTACTTCTTGAGGGGAAGGTGATCATAGCCTCTTACGCAGTTTCTGGAGCTTATTCATTTATTTGTGTGCTATAACAGTCTTCCTTGGCAAGGCCTGAAAGCAGGAAACAAGAAACAGAAGTACGATAGGATCAGCTCAAAGAAGATTTCAACTCCCATTGAGGTTTGTCATTTGCTGCACGAGTTCACGTGAATGACAAAAAGCCATAGTTTTGCAGGTTTTGTGCAAGTCATGTCCAACGGAATTTATAACGTTTCTACACTATTGCCGGGCTCTTCGCTTCGAGGAAAAGCCAGACTACAATTACCTGAAGCGCCTCTTTCACGATCTCTTCATCCGAGAGGGTATCTAAGCTCTCTGTGCTCATGAATTCTGATTACAAGGCAATCTTTGATACTAGGATATCCATACGATTGTATGTTCGACTGGACCATTTTGAAGAGGCAGCTCGCCACTGCACAGCAGCAATCTCCAGTAAGTTTACCAGTAAGCATGCGTTGATCTTTCATCTTGCTCCTTTTTTCGTAAACTTAAATCCCTCCATTCCAGGCAACTGCCTTGGTGAACAAAGCTGAGAAGCCAGCAGGTAAATCTTCCTTTTCTACAAAACTGGATTTTGCTGACTAACAAAGCTAGCCGCCGGAGCCGGCCAACAAGACGCTGCAAAGTCCCGGAACTTAACCTCTCCGGAGCCGCCAAAGAGGCGAATTCACGACTTGTGCACCAAAGACAGCGTAAGTGATTACCATTGTCATTGTCATTTTTGTTCTAAATACATCGTTTCCCAGGCTGATGCAACCGGCGAGCTGTCCAAGCAATCGCTCACGACATCTTCCAAGCAGAGGCTTTTGGCGTCGCCATTTAGCAAGGCCCAAGTTTACAAGCCGGGAGGGGTTCAAAACCCACTCCAAACAAGCAAGCTACAACTCAAGCTTCCCACGACCTCGGAGATGAAGAGACCATCCTCGAATCGCCACTCATCCACGATACGGAGCTATGAGGCCACCCTCAAAGGGATCGAAAGCCTGTCCTTTGAGGCACAGAAGAAAATCAAGTAGCTTCTTATAAAAGTAGTCCTGTACTTACTAGCTGGTGTTTAGTGAGGCCATATTGTTCTTCATGGTCATTCGATGTTAGCAAATATCTAGGGTTCTTGCGATGGATGGGAAGAGTTCGCTTGTTCCGCGGCTTGGCGACGGCAGCGATTCGATGCGCCGCACCAGCTTCGGCAGCGCCGCCGCGGGCGCCCGATCAGCAGGCGGCCGCGCTGGTGTCGGCGCTGAAGGTATGTGGCAGCATAAGGGATCTGCGCAAGGGCAAGGCGATCCACGCCCAGGCGGCGGAGAGCAGGCAGCTGGGGATCCATGTCGTCAATGCGCTGGTGGACATGTACGCGAAATGCGGCAGCATGGAGGATTCCCGCCGCGTGTTCGACAGCATTCTTCACCCAAACGTGATGTCCTGGAACGTTTTGATGCTGGGCTACGTCTCCAATGGCGAGAGCGATGTGGCTCTGGATCTCTTCGAGAGGATGCAAGCCAGGCGGTCGGGCTGCAAGCCAAACTCCAGGAGCTTCATGGCCGCGTCCAAGGCTTGTAGCAGCCTCGCGGCGAAGGAAGACGCTGTTTTGGTCGATGGGAAGCTCGTCAAGGAGGCTAGTCTCGAGACCGGCAGAGGCATCCACTCTCAAGCCAAGCAGATGGGACCGTCTTGCAGCGAAGACGTTTTCCTCTCGAGCTCGCTGATCGATATGTACTCCAAGTGCGGCAGCATGCTCGATGCTCGATCGGTCTTCGATGAGATGCCACGGCGAGACGTGGTCTCCTGGAACGCTTTGATACTGGGCTACGTAGAGAATGGAGAAAGCGAGGTCGCCCTCGAGTTCTTTGGGAAGATGGACTGTTCGCCAAACTCTCGGACTTTCGTTGCTGCGGCCAGGGCCTGTGCGAATCTAGCAGTGAAAGAGGAGGCCACTCAAGAATATGGAAAGATGGTGAAGACGAGGAGCCTGGAGAAGGGGCTCGCTGTTCACGCTGGAGCTATGGAAAGCCACTGCTATGGAGATATTTTCGTGGGGAGCAGCCTTGTGGACATGTACTCGAAGTGTGGGAGCATGGCCGACGCGCGGATGGTTTTCGAGAGCATGCCTCGTCGTGATGTCGTGCTCTGGACGAGCTTGATGCAAGGCTTTGTGGACAACGGGGAAAGCGAGCTGGCTCTCGTGTTCTTCGAAGATATGAAGCTATCCGGGTGCTGTCCAAACTCTCGAACGTATGTTGCTGCGCTTGCCGCCTGTGCGAGCTCGGCAATGCGAGAAGAAGCGGTGGATGTCGACGGGAAACTCGTGAAGAGAAAGAGCTTGGAAACTGGGGTGGCTATCCAGGGTGAAGCCTCAAACAACAGGTGCTGTGAGGACGTGTTCGTGGGGAACACATTGATCGATATGTACGCGAAGTGTGGGAAGCTAGAGGAAGCTCGCAAGGTCTTCGATGGCATGGCTGGCCGAGACGTGGTTTCGTGGAACGCAATGATCCAGGGATCTGTTGGAAGTGGAGACAGCAAGCTGGCCTTGGAGCTGTTCTTCGGCATGGCTCGGGAGAACGATCCGGACGAGAGAACGTTTATTGCTGCGCTCATGGCCTGCGTCCATCTTTCAGCGTCCGAACAACCTGTTCCGCGAGAAGATGGAAAGCTACTGCGAATCCAGAGCCTAGAAAAGGGGATGGAGATTCATTCTCTCGCCACGAAGTTTGGATGCTGTGAGCACAGATTTGTCGGGAGCAGCTTGGTGGACATGTATGCCAAGTGTGGAGATATGGTGAAAGCTCGAGCAGTTTTCAAACGCATGCCTAGCCGGGACGTTGTCGTTTGGACGAGCTTGATCCAGGGATATGTAGACAACGGTGAGAGCGAGCTCGGGCTGGAACTCTTGGAGAGCATGGACTGTGCTCCAAACTCTCGGACTCTTGTAGCGGGACTTACGGCCTGTGGGAACGTTGGGTCCAGTGAAGCTGGAAGGAAAATCCAGGCTGAGCTTTACAGGCGTGGGCTGGAAAACGACCAAGTTGTGGGGACGTGCATGGTAAACTTCTACGGGAAGTGCGGAGTTATGAGTGCGGCCGAGCACTTGTTTGGATCTCTGGCAGTCCGAGATATCGTCGCCTGGAATGCAATGATCACAGGATTCGGCCAACAGGGTGACACGTCGCGCGTGTTCAAAGCCTTTCGCGAGATGCGAGAAGATGGCGTGCGAGCAAACGCGATCACGTTTGTCTCGGTCATCACTGCTTGCAGCCACGGCGGCCTGGTTGAACGAGGCAGGGAGTTTTTCCAGGCAATGGACCCGGACTCTGGCATTGTTTGCGGGATTCATCACTACAGCAGCTTGGTGGATCTCTTCGGGCGTGCAAACCGACTGGAAGAGGCCGTGAAAGTCCTCGAGAGCATGCCTTTGAGAGCGGACGCTGTGGTTTGGAGGAGCGTCCTCGGGGCCTCCCGTAAGTGGAAGAACGTGGAAGTGGGGAGGATTGCGTTCGAGGCACTGACGAAGATCGACGAGAGAGACTCGGCTGCGTACGTTCTGATGGCGAGCATCTACCGGAGCGCGGGGCTGTGGGAGGATCATGATAAGCTCAAGACTATACAGGAGGCGGCCTTGAAAGCGGATAGGAAGAGTTTAAGGATTCATCTACGAGCAGATTGATCTTCATCAAGCGGTCACACGCTCGATGGTGATGGATCACGAACTGGAAGGTAGAAAGGACGGCAGCAACATGGTGGACGAGCTAGAAATTCGATTGCCAGCACCCACAGAGCTGGGAACCAGCTTTGTGGGTTGCCGCAAAGTACACAGGAAAGTCCAGAAGAACGCGTAGAAGAAGGCTGCCACGAAGATGGCGACGCTGACAAGTGTTGTCACGCCTCCTTGATCATGTTCCCTACCACCTTGTTCGTCTCTTCTGGGCCTATGCGGCGGCGTAGCAGTGCTCGAACAGGTGTTGATCAGTGGCAAGCCACAGAGCTGGTTTCCAGCGAAGAGAGCCGCGTCCATGGACGAGAGTTGCGGGCTGTCAGGTATCCGTCCCACCAGGCTGTTGTTGGAGACGTCGAAGACGGTGAGAAACGAGAGGTCCGCCACGGACGATGGTATGGAGCCTTTGAGACGATTGCTCGCGAGCGTCACCCTGGAGAGGTTCTTTGCGTTTCCCAGGGGCTCGGGAATGGGACCGGTTAGCCGGTTGTGGCTCAGGTCCAGCACCTGGAGATTGTAGAGGTCGCCGATGGCCGCGGGAATGCTTCCACTCAGCTGGTTGGAGGAGAAGTCCATGGTTGTCGGGAAGGCGAAGCCAGCGTAGATGAGGCTTTGTGCGCGAACCAGCGGGGTGGTGGTGCTCATGTTGTAGAGCTGGACGTTGGCAAACAGTCGGCCGATGCTTGCCGGTATCTCGCCTGAGAACCTGTTAAGCGAGAAGTCCATGGCTCGTAAGTTCCTGAGCCGGAGAAGCCAATCCGGGATGGAGCCGCTGAATCTGTTGCTTGAGAGGAAGAGGAACTGCAATGTCGAGACATTTTGGAGCATGGCCGGGACTTCTCCAGAGAGGTCGTTCGATCCAACGTCGAGGCCGATCAGCGAGGTCATCTTACCGTAGGAGGCTGGGATTGAACCGATAAGATTGTTGCTGGAAAGCGACAGAAAGAGCAGGCGGCTCAAATTTCCGAAGGTGTCAGGGAGATTTCCAGAGAACTTGTTCTGCTCCAGCCAGAGAGCGATGAGCTCCGTGCAGTTGGAGAGTCCGGAAGGGAGCTCCCCGCCGATGTCGTTGCCGTTGAGAACTAGCTGCTGGAGATGCGAGAGCTGCGAGAGCTCGCCTGGGATGGTTCCAGTCAAGTCATTGCTGTTGAGCCATATCTCTCTGATGTTTGAGCAGTTTCCAAGCTCCAGAGGTATAGAGCCACTGAAACGATTCCTCGTGAGAACCAGCAGCCTCAAGTTCGTCAAGCTTCCCACCCTCGCTGGTACCGTCCCGTTAAACAAGTTTCGCAAGAGGTGCAAAGTCTCGATGCTCGCAAAGTCGCCATCTTCCAGCTCCAGTGGCCCGGAGAGAAAGTTGTTTCCAGCGCTTAAAACCGAGAGCTTGCGTAGCCTTCGCAAGCTCGGTGGCAAACCACCCTGGAGCGAATTGCTGGAGATATCCAAGTACCTGAGCTCCAAGTTCTTGCTCCAGATATCGGGTAGATCTCCGCTAAACTTGTTATACGATATGTCCAGGCGCATCAAGTTCGTCATCTCCCCGAAAGTCTCTGGAATGGAGCCGCTGAGTCTGTTATGCGAGAGCTCCAGTGCCTCCAGTCCCAGGTTACCACCGATGGAGACGCTCCCAGTCAAGTTGTTGATGGACAGGTTGAGCGATCGCAGCGTGGAGCTAAGCTTTGGAACTCTAGCCACTCCCAAGAAGTTCCCACTGAGGTCCAAGCTTTCCATGCTCTCGAGGCTGGAGAGGTTTGCTGGGACCTCTCGCAGAGAATTGGAGCTCAAGTTGAGGAGCTTGAGCCGCGTGTTCTTGCAACCAGCCACCTCCAGCGAGAAGATGTTGTTTTGCGAGAGGTCCAAGCGAGCCAGCGACGGAAGCTCGTCCCAGATGGAAGGAAGAACTCCCAAGAGATTAAACCTGGACAGGGTGAGGGCCTCTACTCGGTTGTCCGAGCTCCACTCCACACCCCGCCATGCTCCTGGATTGGCGGTCTCCTTCCACACTTTGATCCCAAGCCTGTCACCGAGAGAGAGCAGAGCCTGTGTGTCGTTGACGATCCCGGATGGATTCGTGGGGCACTGTGACCGAGATGTTGCGAGAAAGACGAGTAGAAACAAACCCAGCAGCAAATCCGCGAGAGACATGGCCGATACTTTATTCAAACCGACTTATTCTTTCATGTTCTAGTAATCCATTCATCCAGAGTGCAGTCGTCGATAAAACACCAGGAAAATCCACAAGCTATCATCAAAGATGAACGCTCAGGAATATAGAATGTGGCCTTGGAACTTCTTTTGATTCGGACCATGACTTCACCAGTTGGACTGGACCGACCGATGTTCAAAGAAAACCAAGTCAACGAGAATCTAGAAAACAACATGCGCTGCACTTCCAAAGGAACATCAAAACTGGAAGAAACTTATCCTCGTTACGAATCATTCAATCTTTCGAGCGTATTAGTGCTTTCAAGCCGTAGATGATGGTGTCATCTTGATGTAGTGCCTAAAAGATTAAAATGTATGGTGGAGGACCGGTTGGTGTCACGTAGATGTTTGAAGCTCATCGAGGATCGCTGCTGAACTGTGACCGCTTGATCCAAGTTGGCTGGTCCCATACTACGATTCACTCCAGCCTGCTTGACTTGGAAAATCTAGACAAATCCCATGAGCTCATATCCACTACGATTGACTGTTAGGTTCTACTGTAGGAGGAAGCTGTAGGAAGCCACAACTCACAGAGTAATGGTGGACATAAGAGATAAAAGGAAACAGAAGATGAGCTTTTTCAACTCAGTCATAATTTTCAGTCTTCCCAAGTCAATTTTTTATATGTTGTTTAGCATATGTACTGAAAATATAACACTATTCAGGAAAATGTAAAAAGAAGATAACTTATAACAAAGGCACAAAGTAACAAACAAAAGTCAATATTGTCTAGTTGAAAAGTAATAGTTTAATTGAACTACCAAGAATCACCACATGAGCATTCTTCTTTTCTACCGTCAAATACATGAATAACACTTGTGTCTCTCACAATTATCCTTCTCCCTTCCAATTTTGCAAAGGCCTTACAGACCCTGTGGCAGCCCTCACACATTCTCATATTGTTTACGATTCTGACGGTAGCAGTTTTGCTTGTGCTGGTCAAGGCAAAAACAACAGCCAATCTTTCACTATGAGCTTCCGCATCGTCATCGTCTTCCTCAACCTTCGTAAGCTTTTTATGCTTGCTCTTTATCCTTGCATGCAAGCTCTTCAATTTCACCACGATATCTTCACTTCGAGGATGAGAAACAACATCCCCAACCACAAAACTATGTGTCTTATCAGCACCGTCGACCCAAAAGCTCTCCCCAGCCTTTTTCCAAGCCCCCGCCAACTTTCTCATCCTCTCGACTTGCTCCTGCTTGTCCTCCATCCCCACAGTCCGATAGATCTGGGCCATCAACACATACGGGATCGAGTTCGTCGGGTCCAGCCCCACCAGGGCCTCAAACGCAACCTTCCCAAACTCCACACTTCCCCACTTGCGGCAGGCGCTCAACACGGCCGTCCACACCGCCACATCGGGCTCGTACGGCATCGCACGGACCATGTCCACGGCCTCCCCAATCGAACCGGCCCGGCCGAGAAGATCCACCATGCAACCATAATGCTCCAGCGTGGGGGTTATACCGTACACCTTGGCCATTGCATCGAAGTAGGCCTTGCCCCTGGCAACCAATCCGCCCCGGCTGCAAGCTCGCAGCACACAGACAAGAGTGACTTTATCCACCCCGACATTCTCGTCCACCATCTTGTCGAAAACATCACAAGCCCGGGAGCTGTCTCCCTGCTGGGAGTAGGCCGACAGGAGCGCATTCCGTGCAGCCGTGTCTTTGACTGGCATCTCATTAAACGCCCTCTCTGCTTCCTCTATGTCTCCACACTTGGCGTAGAAGTTTATCACGCTGGTGGCTGCCAGGAACGGATCATGGCCGCCGCCTTTTTGGAGCAGCTTCGCGCCACCTTGATCCTCCAGGATGATCGCCCGTCCGGCGTCGAGCGCCATTAAGTTGCCGCAGGCCATGAGCGCGGCCACCAGCGTGATGGAGTTTGCTTGGCAGCTTGATCCCGTCATCTGGCGATAGAGGTCAAGAGCCAACGCACTCTCGCCGTTCTCAGCGTATCCTAGGAGCATCGCATTCCAGGTTGCTACCGTGCGCGATCCGAGATCGATGCCATCAAACACTGCTCGAGCCTCTGAGGTGCTGCCGCAGCTCGAGTACATGTCGACCAGGGTGGTTTGCACGTAAATGTCGAGCAGTCTTTCCGGGTCCTGGAGAGCCTGCGAGTGGAAATCTTGTCCTAGCTTCAAGAACTTTGGCTTGTCAGCGGGATTCTTCTTGGCGCAGCGAGCGCAGGCAGCCAGTCCAGCAACCAGCGTCCGAGAGTCTGGTATCACACAACTCCGAACAAGCTCTAGAGCGGACTCGCTCTCTTCGTTGTCAACGTAGCCGAGCATGAGCGAGTTGACAGTCACTGTGTCCGGGCTCACCATCTGGTCGAAAACAGCCCGAGCTTCGGTCATGCTGCCGCACTTGGAGTACATGCTGACGAGCGTGCTCTCCACAAAACTGTTGATCAAGCCGCTCTTTCGAGCTCGAGCATGAAGCTCTCGACCTTTGTCCAGTATCTCCTTCGAACTTCCAGTAGCGGCAAGCTTCGCACACGCCATGAGTGCCGCCACCAAAACTTTGGCATCCACAACACAGTTCCCGTCCTCCTTCATCCTCTCAAACAGCTCCAAAGCCAGAAGATCTTCGCCATTCTCGACATAGCCGAGCATGAGAGCCGTCCACGAGACTGCGTTGCGCTCTTTCATCTCGTCAAAAACGTTGCGAGCTTGCGCCATGCTCCCACACTTTGCGTACATGTCCACCATCGTGCTCGCTACGTACAAGTCGGAGACAAAGCCACGCTTCGCCGCTGCGGCATGCAAAGCCATGCCCCTCTCCAAGCACCGCTTCTTCACAAGCTGGCCGAGAACTGGATCCTTTCCTTCCCGAGCAGCCGAGCCGGCACAGGCCTTGAGCGCGAAGACAAAGCTCCGCGAGTCCGGCTCGCAGTCCATGGCGTCAAAGAGCTGTAACGCAACGTCACTGTCCCCGGCCGTGACGTATCCCAGGATCAACGAGTTCCAGGTGAAAACGTCGTGCTGCGGCATCCCGTCAAAGAGCTGCTGCGCGAGCGGCATGCTGCCACACCTCCCATACATGGCGATCAGGCTACACGCCATGAAAGGATTGGAGACGAGGCCACACTCGTCCGCCTGCCGGTGAAGCTGCTTCCCCGTGGATAAATGCGTGGAGCTTCGGCAGGATTTGAGGGCAGCGAGTACGCTGGCTGCTGTCACTCCAGATGCATCGCGTTTCTGCGAGGAGCATGGGAGTGTACTTACTGGTTGTGCGAGCTGGAGAGAAGGGCTTCCATGGTTGGTTTCGATCTCTCTCTTTTTGTATTGTGCTCGTCCAGATTGTCCCGCGGCCAGAGTTTTCAGCGAGGCGAGCTTGCTGTGGACCCATTCCGGGCACTCCCTGGCGTTGAGCCACAAGCACTCGCCGGTGGTGGAATGCTTGAAGTCTGGAAACTTGGGCCACTGTACAGACGAGGTCTAAGAAAAAGAAGAGGAAGATCACAAAAGTTCGTAGCATTCTTACGTTTTTAGCGCGATTGTCCCACCAAAGAGAAGGATCTGCGAAGAACTCGTGCCATGCCTGCTCTACTCGCTTTTCTATCGGGAGGAGCCGCTTAAAGACCATCTGACCGAATAGGGTTCTTTGTGTAAGTTTATATTGATCATATATCTAAGGAACAAAAGAAGAGTCTCATCTCAAACCAATGAATGGAGTCACTCGCTTGCATTGTCCACGCGATGAATCGTTGCCAGGATTATTTCCTTGGAATCAAATCGATAACATGGGAGCTTGCCTTGCGAGATTGGAGAAGTAAAAACAAAAAGAATTTATTGCAGCTGCTGAAAGTGTCTCTTACTCTGCAGCGAGAGGAGTGAGCTCCGAAAACACGGGGAAAATCAAAGGAGAACTTACCGGGCTTGTATAAGATTGTGGTCTCGGCGATCATCGAGGTAACGATGTATGGATCCATGTTGGAAGCTGGGCGCCTATCCTCGAAATATCCTGTGCCAGGAAAAAGGAGCACACAGTCAACAATCTCAGCCTGGATCGTGCAGATGGAATATTGACTGGAAAAAAAAAAAAAAACAATGCGGAAAGTCTAGCAAATGCCTACTGCGTGATACGTACCTTTCCCATCTTTCTCAGTATCGCGACCAACGCGGACAGACGCGCCACGATTCGCAACGCCCTGGAGTAAAAGTTTGAGCTTTGAATGGAACGAAAAAAAAAAGAGAACTTTCGTACCCAGGAGAAGGAGTGAATGGTCGCTGTCTCGTGCCTGCCAGTGAGTCTTCTCTCGTTGCCTTCGCCGTAGGCCGAGATGTGCTCCTTGTGCCTCAGTCCAAGCTTCTCGATGGCACTCTTTATGACCTCGTAGCCTCCCTCTTCGCGCATCGACTTGGTGCTGTTCATCGAAAGTCAAGCGTCGAGACAAAGAATAACAAACAACGATGCATACCTGTAGTTCGTGTGGGCACCCGCGCCATTCCAATCTCCTTCGATTGGCTTGGGGTCAAATGAGAGGACCACCCCTGCAATCTCGGTGATCCTCTGAAAAAACAAAGCCAGCGTTTGTTAACGATCTCCACAGGATTGTAAGTTTCACCTCGAGGATGTATCGTGCGGCCCAGAGTTGATCGCCGGCCGAGATCCCCTCGACGGGGCCAACCTGAAACTCCCACTGGCCAACACAACAAAACGAGCGATAAGAGCTTGAACGAGAAAAAAACGAATGCTCTTCCGAAGCTCTTACTTGACCCGGCATGACTTCCCCGTTGATGCCGCTGATCTTGACTCCTGCGTATAGGCAAGCCTTGTAGTGAGCGTTCACAATGTCTCTGCCCCAGGCTTTGTCTGCACCAGTTCCACAATAGTATGGTCCCTGAAGAAACAAAATATCAGTTGAGGCAAAGGAGGAGGAAATGGATTGATTGTGGTCGCACCTGAGCTCCTGGATATCCGTTAATCGGCCAGCCCAAAGGCCACTTCACATCCTTCTGAAGGAGCGTGTATTCTTGCTCAATCCCGTACCTTCAAAATGGAAACGAAGTGGAAATCACAACAGGCCTTTCAGCTGGAAGAGAAAACTTTACCATGTCTCCTCTTTTGCAACGTCCGGGTGGCTGAAGATCTTCGCAGCAGCAGCCCTCTTGTTCGAAGGGATTGGCTCGCCGGTTGGTGTGTAGGCATCGCAGATCACCTGACCAAGGAACCAGTGGATATAATGTCAGACGAAAGCAAAGGAGAAAGACAAGAGCAAAGAGAAAACTCACGAGGATGTTGTTGCCTCTCCGGAATGGATCATTGAATTTCGCCTGGGGACTGGAGACAAGCAGAGTTTTAGAAGTTATCCTCGAGAGCAAAAGAGCAAAACGTACTAGAGAATGACTTCACTGTCCTCCCCAGGAGCCTGGCCCGTGCTGGAGCCATCGAAATTCCACTTTGGGATCTGCTTTAGATCTTCCACCTTTGGGACATCCAAGGTCTGGAGGAGAAGAAACACAGTGAGCAAGCTCACACAACAAGAAGATCCACCAATGCCGGCTGCCGGCCGCTCACCCTGGCTTTGCTCCGGAGATCCATCCCCGATCCGCCGATCCTGCCAACAAAATCCAAGAATCTCAGCACGAACGAGAGCACGGGGAGCTGGCATTGTCCGAGCGACGCACCATATGTACTCCGCGATCACCTTCTTGCTGCACGAGATGTCAAGATCGACGAGATCCGTGAGACGCGACATGGTCGATCGCTCCGCGCGGGCGCCACAAAAACCTAGAAATAACGAGAGAGAGAGAAGGGAGCTCTTTAGCTCCTCCAAGGAATGAAAAGCTATGGAGGGAGGGCAAGCATAAATAGGACCGTCACACGACGTGTACGGCAGCCCTGGTTTCGTACGACTTTGTACGCTAACGTTTGCGCCAATTTGCGATGCTGGCCAGGCACGAGATAAGTCCCATCTTACAATTCGCAAGCCGTACAGGTGTGGCCACCACTGGCCTACGTACGAAACAGCTTTTATGCGGCTGCCCCTTCGAAAGCTCCGTGACAATAGCTACAATACAATGAATCTATGTGACGACCAGGAGAAAAGTTTATATTCTTCCACTTCGATCGAGAAGATTCCACTCCACCTAGTAGATTATCCAAAAGCTACCACACTCAAGCTAACAAATTACCGTATATTTTATAGTACAGACCACTGTGAGCGTGCTCAAGCTCAAACATGCCGCAATGCAGCTAGCCTTTGCTCCAGATCGTCCACTCCGGAGCTAAACAACAGCGAAAAGGAAAAAAAAGTGAGTTTTTTCCTTCGTTTTCTTTCGAGAAGAGAGTCGAGAGAACGAGAATTACCTTCCTAAAGTTTGAGATCTCGTTTTGCTGGCTTTTCCCCTGGGAGCCGACGATAGCTGCGCTGCGATGTCCACTCCAATCTCGTCGAGTACCTGGTCGGCTTGTCAGAGAGAGTGGGGAAACGAAGCTCAAGTGATTTGTGTACCTGGTTTGTGAGCTCGTCGGTCTCCTCCTCGGCATCGTCATTGTCTAGTGCATCGTCGATGGAATCCGACATCATCTCGGTCTGGGAAAGCGATGGAAGAATAAAAGAAAGAATTTTAACCGCTCGCTATGCAGCATCAAAGAAAACAGGAAATGTACCGTCATATCCATTTTCGCGGACTGCCGCTGGAACTCTTGCATTACTTTAGCTTGCTTCGAAGGCTCCATTTTCTGCGAGAGGAAAGAAAGCAAAAGAGAGCTACTTAGCAAAGCTGGAAGCCATAGCCGAAAGCAAGAAAAACTGGAAACTCTGGACGACACCGAAAGGGAGACGAACTAAACTTAAAATTCTCAGAGGAGGAAGAAGTATCTATCTGACCGACCTTATTCATGGCTTCCATGGCTTTATTAGCTCCTTTCATTGCTCCACCAACAGCAGTATTCGCGTACATAGCCTGGAACAAGCAATCAATCCATCAACAGTCAGTGGCTCAAAACTTAGACATCTTAAATCTTCTTTTTTTTCTCAGCTGCTAACCTGAGTGTGTGTGGCAACACCCCGCATTTGTGCCCGGCTTCCCTGAAGCTTTGCTATTTGCTGCCGAAGCCTGATAAGTTGCCTGGCAAGGATTTTCACTGCTGCCTGCTCGATCCCATTACACAAACACACATTAAAACTTCTTCCAGAGAACTGTAAGAGCAAGTACCTCATTTCCACTCTTGGCAGTCTTCTTAATCTCGGCCACAAGCTTCTTCTCCTGGACAAATTCAAGGCTCAAATCCACCGTGAACAAGGGAAAAAGCCGTTGTTTCCTGGCCAAAGTTTCATACCTCGAGCTGCAGGCTCCCAATCTCTCGCTCAATCCCTGGATTTCCCAATGTCAGTGACCTCCCGGACAAGGAAAACCCCAAATACCTCGTGTCGCCACCGCCATCTCCCTCTTGCTCGTCCGCAACGCATCTGAAATCCAGAGGCTAGGTCAGAGAAGAGCGCGTGGGAACGAGAAAACAATGTGGCTCCACCTTTGGCAGTGGTCTTCTTCTTGAAAAACTTGAGCATCTTCGACGAGGATCTCTAGAAACCCTAAATCCCAACCCTTTGCTGGCACAAAGTTACCGTTGATAGCCAATCTCAGCCGTCAAAAGCCCCCACAAGATTCTGGACATCGATGTAGTCAAACAAGCTATCGATTAATTTTGCCAAAGATTTGCTTCAACATGCAAGAATATATAGCAGTTTTGTTTAATAGAAAAGAAGAATAAGAGCTAGAATAGTTAGATAGCTAAGCAGCAAAGCTTACTTATATTAGATCTTTTTAATAATCTGAACCACGTCTTCATCGTCTAGTTCGTGCTCCTGGAACAAAGGCAGAGGCTTTCTAAACGATCGAGGCGCAAAAACAAAGAAGAACAACTAACATACCTTTCCTACACGTTGCGGCTTGTGTTTCGCACTAGATCCCCAGACTAACGCGCTGGAAGACGCAGACAAGCGCGTTTTAATCAGCTCCAAAGATTTCAGAGATGTGCGTGGATACTTACTACTTGAATTGTTTGAGCATGTCCTTGTGGATTCTCAGGCAAAAGTCCTCCACGGTGCGCTTCTTCGCTGAAAGTATAACCGGATCCTCGTAGTCCGGACTCATGGCCTTCGGTTTCGTGTACACTCTCACCAAGTCCAAGTACTCCCAGACTTTTTCCAAGAGTCCATCCAAGTTCCACTCCAGATGTGCGCTATGGAAACAGGAAAACCTTAGAGCCGGCGACATTTTTGCAAGAAAACCGAGCTCACCTCACTGGACAGTAATGCGGCAGCTTATCCAGAATCTCGAGCTCTTCCAACGTGACCTGATCAATCTTGTTGACGGCATAGACGCAGGGTATGTACATGCGATTCCCTTCAATGACATCGATCAGATCATCTGCAGTGGCATCGTATCTCAGCGACACGTCCGCGTTGTGTATCCTGTATTCCCCGCAGATTGCCTTCACCGTTTCCAGGTCCAGGAGCGTGTTTGAAACAGTAGATGTGAAGTTTATGCCTCCTTTGTCTTTCCTCCTGAACGTAAGATTTGGTGGTTCTTTATTGAGCCTGAAAACGAACAGAGACATTTTTAGGCAATGAAAAGAGAAAGAGAATCAAGAAAGCAAAGCAAGCTTGCCTTATTCCAAATCCTTCGAGCTCTTTCTCGATGAGCCTCTTGTGTGTAATGGGCTTGATTGCGTCCAGAACTATGATGATGCAGTTGCAAGTTCTTGCGGTACTGATAACCTGCCAGGACAAAGACATTTGAGTAGCTCTTCATAGCAATATTCTCAAAAAATTCACCTTACCTGGCGACCTCGTCCTTTTCCATCTTTTGCACCTTCGATGATACCAGGGAGATCGAGAAGCTGGAAAGAAAAGATTAGAGTTACACACAACGTTTTAAGTTTGGCCAAGAAACAAACTATCCACACCTGGATCTTTGCTCCCCGGTACTTGATCACACCAGGAATGCAAGTAAGAGTTGTGAATTCGTAGGAAGCAACCTACAAGAAAAAACACACATGAAAGCTCAGCGAGAGAGACGAGTAAAAGAAAACTAGCAAAGCGAGAAGTACCTCAGAGAAAGTTCCCGTTAGCTTGTTCAAGAGTGTCGACTTCCCGACGGAAGGAAATCCAACGAGTCCCACACGCGAATCTCCACTCTTGGTCACGTCGAATCCCTCTCCAGCTCCACCGCCTCCTTTGGAAGTCGGGGCCAAAATCTCCCTTCTCAGTTTCGCGAGCTTTGCCTACACGCCCGGATCATCACATTGGAACTGTGTATAGCGCATTTACCTTGAGCAGTCCCAGATGGTGCGCTGTGGCCTTGTTCTTTTGAGTCCTCGCCATCTACGCAAACAAGAAACCATCGATCGGGCGATCAATGCAGCCGAGAAAGCGCACCTCATCTTCGATGTCCTTGATCTTCTGCATCACGGTCGCCATGGCGCCCGCCTCTTCTCGCTCGTTCCTCTCGCGCAAATATTTAGGGTTCTTCCAGACCTATCGTTACTTAACTAGCATTTAAAAAAATTTCGTTTTCCTTCCATCAAAACTTTGTAACAAGAGTCACGAGCCTGTGTCCATTGGATAGCATCCTAAAACACGCATGAATGGAGCAATCTCCTGAGAGAAAACAAGAGAAACGGGAACTTTAGCTTGGATCGTGTGAACTCGATACGAACCTGTAAGTGGCCGAGAGCGTTTTGTGCTCTTGGGTCCGCCATAGATGCTTGAAAGTCTATGTAAAACAAGTAGTCGAAGTACCTGATGGAAGAGAAAAGCATGTAAGACATGGAAAAGAGTTTGTTTCTCAGTACAGACTTGGCTACTCCGGTGTTGCTATCGTCCACAATCCTCAGTGGTTTCTTCCGCTGCGGTCTGCTCTCTATCTGCAGAGACAATGTAAACGAAGAGAAAAGATGAGCAAAATATGTACCTTGGTAAGATTTATATCTCGCAGCGCAAACACTGCAAGCGCCTTAAACAGGACACCCGGCCCCTCTTCAAGTGTAAACACAACACTTGTCTTACACAACGAAACAATTGGATAAGATTGTTAAAAATCCAACGCTGGTTACCTTGAACGGACGATCATTCCTTGGAATGACAGGATCCCTTGCCAGCATTAAGAAACGAGTGATGTTATCGGAGTCATCCTGTTTTGGTTTTGAGACGATTAAAACGAAAAAACCCGAATGAAAATTCTACCTGTATGCCTTCGGCTAAAACGTCAAGCCCGTATATCTGAGCTGCTCGGGCACTGGCAACCGCCCCTGCATCTCTCAAGTTATTTTGCGAGACATACTGGAGCACGGAAGCATAGAAAGTAAGAACAATACTCCAAATAAAAAGGGATGCCTTGCCTGGGCTGCTCCGGCCGTGTCGTCGACTGCCTCGCGTGTAACTCCCAGCTTAGACAGTGTCTGCTCACACTGCGCTAGAGCCTGAAGAAAAACCTCAAGACCAAAATAAACAACGCTAGAGAAGTACAACTAACTTGAGAGTGACTAAGAACGCGCTTCAGCTCCTCTGTCTTGACGCCGGGAAGGCCCAAGAGGCAATGGTTAACTGGGAACTGCACTTCACCCACAATATGTAGCCGGTGGCGTAGCAGAAGGTCGTAGTTACGATGAATGCTTCCTCCTAGCGAGTTCTCAATCGGTAGCACCGCCCTGTCCACCAGCCAGAGTTCCACAGCCTACCTCCAAAGTTTAGAGCCATAAAACACTCAAGAACAATGCAAACCTGGAATGCACCTTCGAACTGCTCGCAAGGGACGGCTTCGCAATTCGGATAAGCCTTACAAGCGGCAGCTTCACTGTAGGCACCAGGCACGCCCTGCAAGCCGAGCCAAGTGATTGAGGACAAGAAAAACGAAAAAGACTACCTGATAAGCAACTCGTAACTTCGACCCTTGTCCAGGCGATGTCAAGCTTGTCACAGAAAGAGGCCCTGGAACAGCACAAAGAGTTCGGATAGGAATGTAGCAAAAGGTCACTCACTTGGCAGCGTATCCAGCTCAAATCTGGGCTCCATGTCGGGCTTGGAGTCCTGTTGCTGACTAACACAGGCTCCCCGGACGAGCTGACGCTGGCCCGAGACGCAACGGTAATTCTCTTGCCTGCGAGCTTCCATGGAGACCCAACAAGGCCATGCAGAGGAAGAACAAGACGAGGAAGACGATACTATTTGAGATGGGCCACAGTGAGTAATAATACCCTTTGGATGGAGGGCAATGGCCATGAGCAAAATATTCCTACACGAATCAAAATAGTCAAGACAGCAGAGACAAAGAGAAGTTTCTTACCTCGCATCAAGTAGTTTCTTCGCCGATCCTCGCGCGCATCGAATGACGCATCTGTTCCAACCGGGAGTTAGAAGGAGAACGATGGTGGAAGAGGTGTGTCTTACCCTCCCAGCGACCAAGAACCCTAATTCTTCATCTTGCAAGCATTAGATATGGGGCTGCGTTCGTCGGATCCAGCTTCCTGGCCGCCTCGGCCGCCCGCGCCGGATCGCAATGGATCTTGGAAGATCCCAGCAGGCTCGTCCAGGTAGCGTCGTTGGGAGAATGAGGCATCCCCCTGAGCAGCTCCTCCGCGTCGCCGAGCTTCCCTGCCCGCCCCAGCGCGTCCAACACGCAGTGGTAGTGCGCCACGCCCGGAATCACGCCGAAATCCACGATCATCGAGCACAGGCAGCGCTTGGCGCCCTGGACGAGGCCGATGTAGCTGCACGCCGCCAGCGCGCCGATGAAGCTCACGCCATCCGGCGCCAATCCCTCGGCACACATCTCGCGGAGGATTTCCAGCGCCTCGCGGAGATTCCCGTTCTGGGCAAACGCTTGAATGACCCCATTCCAGGACACCGCATTGGGACATTGCATTCGATCAAGAACCATCCTGGCCGTTACCAGGCCGCCGTTGATGGCCTCGCCGTGGATCAGGGCCGTCCACGCCACCACGTCGCGCTCGCAGTCCATCCTCCAGAAGGCCCTCCTCGCGTCCTCCAGATGCCCGCTCCCGGCATAAGCCGCGACCATGGCCGTCCACGTCACCACGTCCTTCTCCGCCGTCCGATCGAAGAGCCAGCCGGCCAGCTCCACATCGGACGACGCCGCGGCGATCATCGCGTTCCACGAGACCGAGTTCCACTCGGGCATGGCGTCCAGGAGCACTAGCGCGTGATCGAGGTTTCCAGCCATGGCGTGCGCGGACACCATGGCGCTCATCGATGCGAGGTTCTTGGCCGGCATTCTCGCGAAGATCTCTTCCGCGCGGGCGATTTGCCCCGCGCAGGTGTACGAGCCCAGGATCGCGTTCCAGGAGAGGGAATCGTGCTCGGGCATGGCGTCGAAGATCAATCGCGCTTGCTCGACCGCTCCATCCGACGCTTGCGCCTGGAGGATCGTGTTCCAGGAGACGATGTCACGCTGCGGCATTTTCTTGAAGATCTTGGCGGCCTCGTGAAGATTCCCGGCCTGGGCAAGCGCCGCGATTGCCAGATTCCAGGAGACTGTGTCGCGGGCGGGCATCTTGTGGAAGATCGACATCGCGGCGCGGTGGTTGCCGCTGTGGCTAAATCCGGAGATCATTGTGTTCCAGGAAATCAAGCTCGTCAGTGGCATTCGCGAGAAGAGCTCTAGCGCGAGATCCAGATGCCCGGCTTGGGCATACGCTCCAAGCATGCAATTCCAGGAAACTAGATCTGGATGTGGGATCTGATCGAACACTTTCCTTGCCCTCTCGATCTGGCCGCGCTGGGAAATCGCAGTGAGAATCGTGTTCCAGGAGATTATGTTGATCTCTGGCATGGAATCAAACATTCTTTTGGCGCTATCAAGGTCTCCGTCCTGGGCAAACGCTTGGATCATCGCGGTTCTAGAGACGATATCCGGGGCCGGGCATCGATTGAAGAGATCAATCGCTTGCTCGAGATCTCCGGCAGTGACGCACGCCTGGATCATCACATTCCAAGACACCGCGTCCCGATCGGCCATGGCATCGAAAAACTCTCTGGCGCGATCGAAATCCCCGCCGGTGGAGTACGCCCGGAGCATCGTGTTGCTCGACACTAGATCCCTCCTGGGCATCGCCAAGCACAGCGACTCTGCCTCTTGGATCTCCCCCCGATCGGCGTATGCCTTGATCAGGGAATTCCCGGCCACGGCATCTTGCTGCGGCATCTGGTGGAAGAGATCGCGCGCGCGCTGGAGCTGGCCATTGCGGATCAGGGCCGCGATCATGAGATTCCAGCTGAAGGAGTTCTTGGCAGCGGTGGCGGAGAAGAGCGCCGCCGCCTCCTCCACAGCGCCGCAGCGGCCATACATCTCGACGAGGAGATTGGCGAGGAAGACATTGGAGTGGAGAGCGCCATCGCGGAGGATCCGAGCGTGGAGCTCGCGGCCCAGCGAGAGATCCCTAGCATGGCCGCAGTGCCTGATCGAGTCGGGCAAGCTTAGCGGCGGCGGCATTTCCGGACGGGATTCGAACCATGGCGGCCTTTAGCCCTTGGAGAGGAGATTTTTAGGGTTTATAGCTTTAGGGCAGAGAGGATGAGATGAGAGACGATGGAGCTCGGCAGCGTTGTGGAGCTCAGCTCGTCGGATGAGAATGACGATTTTCTCCTGCCGATGAAGCGCATCGCTCCCGATGACGATGACGACGACGATGTGATTATTATCGAGAAGTCGCAGTGCACGGCGGCAACCCGGCGCTCCTCCTCCAGGCGGCCTCCGCGGAAGATCGAGGCGCTGGTCGAGGATGATTTCGAGTGCTGTATCGTGGCTAGCACTTCCAACTCCAGGCTATTCCAGGCGGTGGATGTGGATGGGGACGAATTGGTGGTCACTGGAGAAACTGGACCGGTAAGTTCACGATGATCTAGAGTTTTTCTTCGCTGTTCTTGTGTTCTTGTTTTTTCATCGATTGTTTTGTTCTAAAGGAAGGAATGGGCTTTGTAGGTGGCATGCAGGGATTTTCCTCACGCTCGACATCTTTGCGTGCGTTTTCCTTTCAGTGCTACGCCACACATAGACTTCTGTGAACAAGTAAGTGCCGGATTAAACTTTTTTCCTGGACGAACTCGACACTTATAGATCATCAATCCATTTTTCTTTTTTCTTTTTTTTTTTCTTCTTTGTTCTAGTGCCACTGCTTTGTTTGCGACACATTAGCACCCTGTGCTTACTGGTCGACTCACTGCGACGCTTCCGACAAGGAAGCTCAGTGGCTGACGATGCGAAAATCGAATAAGACGCCCGAGTTGGCTCTCTTACCGCCGGTTGCGAAGATCCAGAGACCAAGACCACCTCAAGCAACTCATGCAAGAAGAGTAACAGCAGCGCCACTTCTTCGGCCAACAGTAGTAGCAGCAACAGTGACACGACCACTGCCACCACCTTTAGTACCGCCGCAGTTTCCACCATTCGCCTCAAGCTTCGCGAAGCCGCCGGCAGTGGGAACAGCGACCATGTCCGACTATGCTCTGGGCCTCGCGAAGCGAGTTCCCAAAGTCAGGTACTACACAACGTCAGGCTCAACGAGCAGTGTGGCTAGAAATCTAGGTGGGGTGAGAGGCGCCCGTCCTCCAGCTCCGACGGTGACAGGGAAGAATGCTCCTTCTAGACAGCCGCCAGGAAGCGCTACCGGCAGTGTTAGACAATTCAGAACAGCGGCGTCCGTGATGGAACAACAGCAAAGTGGTGCTCAGCACTTATCACCAACAAGACCGACAAATGGTGGTGTGGTTAGAGCCGAGTTAGCATCAACAGCGGCTACAGCAACAGCAACAGCAAGAAAAGCAACGGCGTCATCGCTATCGCCAGGGGCACCGACAGCAGGACCGACATTAGGAGGATGGACAGTATCCGCAGCACCGCCATCGATTATGACGGAGGGAGCAGCAGTGGACAAGAACAGTGGTGCTTTAAGGCCGGACGCGAGCGCGAGCTCCACCCGGCTGGTGAAGAGGACGGCGAGGCCCACCGCTCAGGCCACCGTCCGAAAGGCACGGACGCAGCAAACGAGCAAGCGATCATCCGGCAAATTGGCGGTCGCCCCTGTGCCGGGTACTACGAGCGCTCCAGCGCAAGTCCTTCCAGCCGCTCACCCGCCGACGGTATCGCCGTGCCCGAGCCTCCATAACTTGGTTGGCGGAAGTGGATCCCAGTGCGGGGATTTGGAGAGGATGAGCAGTGGTGGCTTTGGCGGTGGCGGTGGCGGTGGCGGTGGCGGTGGCGGTGGTGGCGACGAGTACCTTCTCGCCCTGGAAGCTCTTTTCGAGTTAAACCAGCCGTGATTCGTAGTCGTCATGAATCTTGCTAGTATCGGGCCGCGTGTAAATTTTCACGTGACGCGGAGGTACAAAAATCTCGCTTTTTCTTTCGTGAAAGAAGATTTTGTTCCTTTCTTGCAGCTATAAGCTGGACTGGACAAGTGCAAGTGCGCGCAATCACGTGTCCGCCACGCCAGCTCGTGGATGACGTGGCATTGGGGAATGGTGCTGACGTGTACCCTTGACTTTTTTAAGGGTTTCCCCTTCTTTTTAAAGGAGAGCTGCTAGGCAGTTTGGGAACCAGATTCGACACATGTCTGATATGCTAGGCTTTTCTTTTACGGCAGAAATTAAAAACTAGCTTTTTCCAACCTTTTCCGCGTATACTAGTATTTTTTTTTTTGTGCTTGTGTGCCATTGGCTACCTATATATACCTGTTGATCCTGTTGGTCGGTGAGTTTCCTGTTAAGATTTGTCTATATCGAGCGAGCTATGGCGAAACAAAAGGAAAGGTCGAGAGAGGTTTTTAGCTGCTGGCTTCCACGGTCGTCTGGACGCTGCGGATGCACGCCTTGCCGTCGAGCTTGGCGTAGAAGCGCTTCTTATAGTCGGAGAAGGTAAACTCCTTGTAGAGTGGCGGGTGGCTCTCGTCCAGCAGCTCCTCCACCGGCGACACCACCGTATTGAACGACGGGTTGTAGAAGAGCGCGATGGAAAGCCTGGGGCACTCCGAGTTGAGCACCACCCGGTGCTCGACGCTCTTGTACTTCCCGTTGCTCAAAACCTGCCCAAGGGGGATAAAAAAGATAAAGAATGACATGAGTGCGAGCCGAAGAATAAAACCAGATCTCTCTTTTTTGCACTTCTGTCCCTGTATCTTATGCTTGATTCTCTCGGACACAGGGAAGGACTTGAAAATCATTTTACCTGTAGCTGGTCTCCCACGTTTACAACGAAGGCACCGGGGAGTGGCTTGACAGGAATCCATTGACCCTCGTTGAGCACTTGGAGACCCGAGGTTGCGTCCTGGAGCAGAATTGTGATCCCTCCCACGTCCGAATGGCTGCTCAGGCCGAGAGCCAGCGCCGGATCGGGACAAGGCGGATAGTAATTGAGCAGGAGGAAGCGCTCGTTTGGTGTGCCGAATGCCGCGTCCAGGAACTCGGGAGAGAGGCCGAGGCTTTCCGAGAGAGCCCGCAATAGTGACTTGCAGAGAGAGCCCACTGCCTCGCTGTAGTTAACTGCAGTCTCCCTGGATGTGCAGAGAGAAACAGAGTAAGCCTTGGAGCTTTTGTAGAAATGGAGAGAAGCAAAACGGAGGAAAGTGTGGGTGGAGTGAGTGGCTTGCCTGTAGGAGGGAGGATTCGCCGGCCACGACGAGACGTTTTCTTCCGAGAGAGGATTGCAGGAGTGCCGGAGGTAGTCGCGCCAGTCGAAGGTTTTGTCCTCGTAAGGATTAAAGCTCGTCCCGTACATTGTCATCTTGGAAGACATGCTGGTGGCGTGATACACCATCTTCTCCTCCACCGGCAATTCAAAGAACTCATAGGCCACTTCTTTCATCTTCTCCGTCGTCGCCACCGGGACTCCGTGATTTGTCACCTGAGAAACAGACAAAAGGTGATTTTGGAGGAAGAGTTAGATCGGCGGACTGAAAACAACACATGTATATCCTAGCTGGAAGAAACATACAAAACTTTAGATCGCAGACAGCAAGAAAAAACAAGCCTTGGAAGAAAGATCCAAACCTGGAAAAATCCCCACTTTTGGCAGGCTTGTCCGATAGCCGCGATGGCCTTGGGCCTGTTGCCGCTGTTGCTGAGTTCCCGGAGGTCGATCACTGGAATGTCTTGTGTGTCGGGGCAAACTTTGGACTTGCACAAGCGCTGGTGCTCGGGCTGGATATAAATATCCGGGACGATACCCATACCACCATCCACCAGCACCTTAACACCTCCCAGATATGGACGCTTGTCTACTGTACTGCTCGCGCTCAAAACTCCCATGGCTAGCCTCTTTTACTCTTAACCCTCAACTTCACACACTCATGCAAGGCTTTGCTCGAACTGCATTTCTGCTTTATAGGCAGGAGAGGCAGGACAAGTCAAAGTATCAGGCCGTATGTCATGTACAGGGAAACGTAAAATAAGCGTATAGATATCACTAGAACGTAGAAAACACATAAAAGGAAGAAACTAAATGCATTTGGTAAGAAAGAGAGCGGGCTTACACTGACATGTTGATATCCCCTCTCCTTCTCGCCGCAGAAAAGCTATCTTGCGTGGTCTTCTGTGAGCCAGTAGTACACAATCCTGAAAAAAAATACACAGAGAGAGAGAGAGAGGGGGAGGGGGAGAGAGAGAGAGAGAGAGAGAGAGAGAGAGAGTGAGAGAGAGAGAGGGAGGGGATTAGTTTAACTCTTCGAGGCAAGAGAAGAGTGATCTACTTAAAATTCCACTTTCTGTAATCAGCTGTCAGCTCCTCCGGAATCCATGAGATCACCGCTGAGGCAGTGCATGACCCCACCCTGTGAGATCATCCTTGAAAGATCATCCGCCCGCTCTACACCGTCCAATTGTCTTTCTGGAAAACGAGCAGCGAGAGGATTGGTCTCTCCCGCGAAGAAAATGCGGCACATAGAAAAAGCCTCGACACTTGATTTTCAAAACCCGGAGAGCGTCCCACCTTTTCTCCATCGATGTAGAAAGGACTGCCTTGACAATGCCGTGCCAACCATCCTTAAAAACCCGAGACCCCCGAGCTCTCCATTCCAACTAAACTTCCAAAGCTTGCTTCTTCTTCCTTGTTGCTACTATGTCTTTTTCACCAGATCAGCCCCGCTGACAAACCGGGCAACCATGGATATGACTCGGATTGGAGCTCCCATCAATAGAGCATCAGAGAATGGAACTGCGGCCATGGAAGGCCTCCTCCTTTCTCCCGTCTCCTTCATCACCCTGTTTTTCTTCTCCGGCAAGTGGGTGTGACTGATAACGATGAAACACGAGGGAACTTAAAGACGAATCAGGCCATGGCAGTGTCATCAAGGGGGTGGTGAATGGTGGAGGGGAAGCAGCAGCAGTAATAGCAGGAAAAGTGGAAGGCGGATATTTTTCCGCACATTGTTGTAATTGTCATCCACAGCCACTTGCTCCATCCCTTTTCGAGCGGTGGTGGTGGTCTGCACGTCAACTTCATCTTCTGGGGATGTGCTCTTCATCTTCCGAGCAGCCGGAGCCAATCCGATTGACCCGACACTGTGGCCATTTGTCAGCTGACTGATAACCAAGCTTTGGTCGTTCAACTGCAAAAGAAAACAGAAAGCATGACACGAAAAACAACTTACCTACAGAATCGAAGAAAAAAGAACAAGAGACTTTTCTCGCAGGCCTTTGAAGTTAGCTTGCCATTCTCGGCAACGAGCTTCTCCAGCACCGAAGCCGCTGCTGCTTGCTGGAGTTTTAAATCATCCACCACTGTAGGCTCCTCCTCACAAATGCCGTCCTGGATTGAAAGTCTTGATACACAGAATCCATCACATTTTTTATGCCAACCTGGGCGTGATCATTTCGATGAGCGCGAGCTGCCAGGTCCAGCAAGCGAGCAGCAACATTGTCTCTTTCCTGTATCAAACCATCCACGCGACCTTGCAAGAACTCAATCTTGCATGGCATCCGAGACATATAAAAGAGAGAAAGGACAAATAGACTCCAAATCTTTGTGACGAGGCCTTGGATCTCTCCTCGAATGGCCTGCATTTCTTGCTGCCAGCCATTCTACTAGCACACAGGTGTCGTTGATCCAGGCGTGCCTCCTGGATATTAGCTTGTTTGAGCTCATCAACGCCCGACAGATCGATCCCATGGCCTGGCTCCTTCTGCACCAGATCCTCGTTAGAATTGCCAGATTTGCCCCCCTGTTTCTCTTTCTTCCGCTCTAGCACCGTTTAAATGGAAACTTATACTATGTTCCGTTATGATATTAAATTTATTTACCTAGATAAACTAAATTATAAGCGCCTGGAATTATTATTAGTTTCATTAATTAATATAGATCTTAATTATTTCTCTTCTATTTCTATACAGGAAAGATGAATCTTCCAACACACAAAGACCAGAAATCAGCATTTTCTATGGACACTCGTTACTCCCGATATCCAACAAGCATAAAAATTACAATATAATAGTTGAATATAGTAATCCTCAAAACTCTAGCTAGTTGGCGAATGAAAATCTTTGTGGATTTCTCAGCTGGGTTGTATGATAGAGCAGATATTCTCTGTTTTCTTGTGCGGACCTTTACTGTAAATCCTTGTAATTAGGCATATATAAAAATCCTTTCACCACCGACCTCTGCGTTGCAGCAGCAGCAAAAAAGCTCCACTCCCAGTGGAGAGTAGTGCGTGGCAATGTCTCTCAGCGTGGGGGAGCTGACACAGTCTTTCTTGGCTGCCTATAGATTGACACTTAGGCCGCGTTGTCATCGCCTTGAGCCATTGTCATGCTAGCTCTTTTCCAGCTAGTCTCCTAGCCATTTATCACTTTATGGCTGCATGGAAACTCTGTGCGCTTATCAGTACGAAGAACTTGACGAGCGAACCAGCCTTTTTCATGCGCCACGAGTTCCTGTTGAGTTCTTCTGGCCATGATGTACGGGTATGACTTCCTCGTGCTTGTGCTCTTTCTCGCGATGCGTGATTCCAGGTAGCAAAGAGGGGGGAAAGATTAATCTATACGGGAGGAAGATCGCTGCAGCATTGCGGGGATAGATCCCTAGCGGGCAGCAGCTGGGGCTGGATTTTGCCATGAGCAGCGTCAGAGGAGGTATCAATAGTACTCTCACTTGGTGCTTTAATTCTATCCAATTTTCCCATTGTTGTACTTTGGAAAGCTCTAGCTGGTGTTGCTCTCTCCCTCTTCACCAAGAAAGCTCTAGATGCTAATTAGAACAGCTATAGCCAAGCCAGCTCACCCAAAAGAAATGGCCTATTAACATATTATTTATTATTATGTCATTTATCTAAATGTGATCTTTTTTCTTATGTTATTTTTATTAACTTATGTTATTTTCTTGGGACTAACATTTCAGACATTAGTTTCGGTACAACAATTTGTTCAGGAACTCCATTAGCGTTCTTTTGCACCATTTTTTTAATACTTCCTCACTTAATTTTTTGAATATATGTAATATTGCATTATTTATATTTAAATGTTTTTTTTTGTGAATTCTTAATTTTTATGAATATTTTTTATTTATACATTATTAAAAAATACTAATTTATATATTGCTTATTATATCTGTTATTAAAAATTATGAATCACTCTGTGAGGTACACCACACGTACTTTGGGTGGAGGTTGTGCCAAAACATTGAATTACACTATAAGATATATGAATTTAAAATATATATGTGCTTCAATTTTTTAATGACTCCCAAAAACATGTTTAGATATGGTTTTTCTTTTTCAAGGATGTATGAATTCTTAATATGCCTCAAATTCTCTAACAAGGAGGATACATTGCTAGGTGGGCAGCTCAAGAAGCTCAACCTCTCCACAAATTTCTTATTGAGTCTTGACTAGCAACTATATACTAGGCAAGATCATTGTTTAGAGGAGCTTGTTCGCCTCTCCAGCCACATCCTTCCATTAATTTTCTCCCTAACAGCATTGTGGCAACTGGATTTGAGCAGCAATCTTTTGTCCAGCCACATTCTAGTGCCTAGCCTTGAGGCTTAATTGTTCAGAAGGTCAAGGATCTAGAGTGAGTGTGGGTGCTCACTCTAGATCCTTGACTTTGTGAACAATTCCCTCTTTGGTGAGATCCCAACCAGCATCAGTAATCTCTCCAACCTCACTGAGCTCTTGCTCGGCCTTAAGACTACACTACTTAGGTCCTTGGTTGACAGTATGCTATGGTAATCTCACAAAGCTTGACATCATTGGCAATTGGCTCACAAGTGAAATCCCGAGCTACCTTACAGATCTCCCCAAGTTTATGATCTTAGACATCAGCATGAAGTTCTTTGTGGGATCCATCCTTGACAAACTGTGACATGTGACATATGACTTGTATTATAATATTTATATGGGACATCCCACACTCATGGGTGCACAGGTGCACAAACACATCATCCACATGTGCAGCAATGTCATGTCCTCTTTTTTGCATGATTCAATTTAATCCACAATTTATGGAAATATAAAGCATTATAAAATCTTGTTGTGAGTGATTAGTGATTGATTTTTTTATGGTTTTCTTGGCTCCTAGAGATTTTGTATTGTTACAATTATGTTTAAATTGCTATATAATAATTTCATGTGCAATTAAAAAAAAAATTAAAATGTGCATGATTAAATAAACGATCCACCCATATACTATCAGATATTATTTGTCATAGTTATGTCTTATTGAATGATGTTTGTATAGATTCTGTTTTGTTTTTTAAAAATTCTTTGGTACGATAGATTGAGAAATATCCTAGAATATATTCCTAATTAAAACTTTTGTTAATTAATTGTCTTGGATTTTAAAATAGTAAAATTGGTCAGACGTGACGACCAACGAACCTTCCATCGAACTTTGGCAACCAGAAGAAACAAAATACACATTGATTTTGCTATTCAACATTGTAGGCTTGTACTTACTCGGCTTTCAAATTCTCCCTAGGAGTGCCACACGCGAAAAGCAACACCGTATTCCTTGGCATATATAATCCCACAAATCTCCCCAGCACCAATCCATTCCATCTCATTCATTCGATCAAAGCAATACAAGAGCTTGTGTGTCTATCGTAGCCATGGCTGTATCTAAATCCATAATCTTCGTGCTCTTCACATTCTTGGCCGTTTCCCTGGTTTCATCTGACCCAGATCCACTTCAAGACTTTTGCATTGGAGATCTAAGCGCCAGGCCGAGCATCAATGGCTTCCCATGCAGGAACGCGTCGCTCGTCACGGTGGACGACTTCATCTACAGCGGGCTCGTGAACTCCTCCAACACCACAAACATTGATCGCGCTGGCGCGACCTTTGGAACAGCACTGAGATTTCCGGGCCTCAACACTCTGGGACTCTCCATCGCCAGGCTCGATTTCCTTCCCGAGGGGATCATCCCTCCACACACCCATCCCAGAGCCTCGGAGATGGTGTACGTCGAGGAGGGGAGCGTCTACGCCGCCATTGTCACCGCGGACAACCGCTTGTTCGCTCGTGTGATGAGCAGGGGCGAGGTGATGGTGATCCCGCGCGGATTGATCCACTGGCAGATGAATGTCGGCCGGACGAACGCCAAGATCATCGCCACACTCAACTCCCAGTTCCCGGGAATCCAGTTTGTGGCGAGGTCCATGTTTGGGTCGCGGCCGGCGGTCCCTGACGAGGTGCTCGAGAAGACTTTCTTCTTGGACGCGGCTGCAATTGATCAAGTCCGATCCAACTTCTTGTGATCCTACATTTTCTTGTTCTTTGTTTTCGATATTCTTTTCCAAAACAATAAGAGATTGATTTAGGGTTCCTGGCCAGGGAGCTTTATCGTCTAAGAAGCAAGCCTTAGGCCCAATCGGCCACAACTGCTTTAGAGATACCGATACGCGGCCAACAACGAAAGGTAGTAGAAGAAAATTTCTCTCATTTTTTTAATTTCCAGAAGCGGCGGGGACTCGCATACGGATCATTTTCTTCTGAATGATTGTTTCTGATTCTTTTTCTTCCATTTATTTTGTGATTTTGGCAAGAAGATGACTGTTGACATGAACTGGGATGTTCGCCAATGAGCCGCACGCACTTGGGTGGGAAATTTAGCAATCATACCCGAACCTGATGTGTGGTTTCTGGTCTACTTACGAAACCATCGCCTCTGGGTGATACTGGACTAGGATAACAACGTTTCTGGCATATCATTCTGCAACCCCAATGGTTTGTGATTCTTCCCTTTTGTCTATAAAAGTCTGTTGAAGAACTTGACCGAGAATCAGTGGAGCAAAGTGGATGCCACATTGTATCTATACTATAGACGGCGGCCTGGATAAGGTATGAAGCAAGTGTATCCTCAAACAAAGCTAATGTACTTATTAAATGTTTATGTTTTGATTACATCCAATCTTGCTAAAAGCTTCCTTCCAGGCTTGGAGACGTTTTATTACACCAGAAGTTCAAGGAACGATTTTCAAGCAGGCAAGTTCCACTGTGTGTCGGTAGTTTGCTATTTAATGAGCTTTTGCAATCACAGGAAACCATGCGTTCTCAAGTGGAATATCCGAACGCGTTGGGCAACGCGTGAGCGACATTTATGTTGAAGTAAGGCGACGTGATAGCATGTCTTCCAGGGTATCATCAGAAGAGGGAGCTATGGAAGGACTTCTCAAGGGACTTATCAACATTGGCATTGAAGCAGTGCAAGATTTTGCCGCTGGAAACCAAAATGCGGACAATTCGCAGTCAAACGAGGCAGATTCGAGAAAGGAGGAAGAGGAGCAACCGAGATCCAGGTGGGATAAGCACAAGCATCAGCAGGTGAGATTTATCTTTAGACTACATAGATCTAGCGAGTGCTCTTCTCTTCTTTTCGTTTCCAGGCACCAGATGAATACAAGCAAGCTTTCAAGAGGAATGCAAGCGATCAGGACTATTCCGAAGGTGTAGACTCTTCGTCTATAAACCTCGAACCAACGGACGAGGAACTTAGTGACTACCGCGTTGCTTGCAGCCGGCTTTGGGATCTCGACATCGACCGCCTTGTTCCTGGCCGTGACTACGAGATCGACTGCGGGGATGGGAAGAGAGTCTACAGCAAGGAGGATATGGCTTCCAACGAGCTCTTCAGATTTGTCAGCCAGGACGTTTTCAAAAGGCCAACTTACGCCAGGTTCTACGCGCTGCTGGACAACTATCACGCAGATCAGGATGTTGCAGAGGAGTTCTCGTCGAGGGAAGAGCAAGAACAGATAGCTTTCGTGGAAGAGATAAGCAGGACGGCTCCAATCCAGTACCTGTTCAAGTACCTGGTTGCAAGCCGGGCCATCCAGTCGGACAACTGGGAGGAGTTCAAGCGGATGCTCCAGCGGCTATGGTTCGATCTCTACAGGCGAGATAACACGAGAGACTCCTCTTCGGCGTTTGAGCACGTTTTTGTGGGAGAGATCAAGGACCGGGAGAACAACGATGAAGAAGTCTCCGGCCTCCACAACTGGATCCAGGTATGCGTTGTTCTTCTCAACTCCGTGACGGTCGTGATGGCTTTTTTAACTCTCATTGTAGTTCTACATTGAAGAAGCAAAGGGGAGCCTGGATTATCAAGGCTATATACTACCAAGGAGGCGTGGTGGTGACGAGGTAGAAAATGGCTCTGGAGTGTTCTTGTTTTAACAATCATCTCCATCTTTCTTTTTTTTTGGAATTGTGCAGCCTGACTCGCATACCCAGCTTGTCACAGTCCAGTTCACTTGGAATGGTGCTCGCAAGCCAGCGTCAAGCTCTTTCATTGGAGTGAGTCCCGAGTTTGAGCTAGCGCTCTATACTCTTTGCTTCTTCTGTGGTGACGAAGACAATCATTTGGTTCTGGGATCCTATGGTGTAAACGTGAAGTGCTACAGGTATGGAAGAAATCGAATTGGTTCAGTATTTCCTATAGCTGAGGAATGAAAAGTTTCGTTTCCAAGTCTCTTCACACTTTACTTTTTCGCGAGAAAAAATCAATCTCTTATTGTTTTTGAAAAAAGAATAACTGAAAGAAATAATCATTGTTGGCTCGTACAGAGTTGGATCGGACTTGATCGGTCGCAACCGCGTCCAAGAAGGAAGTCTTCTCGAGCACCTCGTCAGGAACTGCCGGCCGCAACCCAAACATGGACCTCGCCGAGTTGAGAGTGGCGATGGTCTTGGCATTTGTCCGGCCGACATTTATCTGCCAGTGGATCCATCCACGCGGGATCACCATCACCTCGTCCCTGTTCATCACCACTTCATCACACGAGCGAACAACGGTTGTCCGCGGTGACAATGGCGGCGTAGACGCTCCCCTCCTCGACGTACCATCTCCGAGGCTCTGGGATGGGTCTGTGGAGGGGATGATCCCCTCGGGAAGGAAATCGAGCCTAGCGATGCAAAGTATTGAGGCCCGGATGTGCGAAAGGAAGATCGCGCCAGAGCGATCCATGTTTGTGGTGTTGGAGGAGTTCACGAGAGATGAAGTCGTCCAGCGACGCGTTCCTGCATGGGAAGCCATTGATGCTCGTGGCGCTTAGGTCTCCAATGCGGAGTGAAGAACACGAAGAATATAATTTTGGATACAGCCATATTGTTTAGCTACGATAGGGATAGAACTGATCACACAGGCTTTGATTGAATGAATGAGATGGAATGGAGTGGTGCTTGGGAGACTAGTTCTTTATACTTACCAAGGAGTTTTATAGCCGAGTTCAAAGTTATAATGCGAACCAAGAAGAGACAAAATTAACTTGACTACAATTGTAGAAAATTGTAATACATGCAAATATATATATATACCTTTAAAAAAATTGGTGTGTTCAACATTTATTTTATGAGTTAAACATATATGTTTAAACAATTCACATTTTACCATGCCCAAAACCAAATTATGTTTATGTTTGTAAATCTAAATTGACTGATGGATGTGCTCAAATGATCTTGCACTCCTCCACCTTTAGCCAACATTGTTACAAATAGATTTAATCAATGCCATGTGACGTAAATGTCATACCATGGATTAAAGCATTTTATTTGTAACAACTTTTCTTTGACTGCAAAGCTCAACAAGTCCAAGCTAGATAATTTGAAGATAGATTATTTGATCTTGCTGAGATCAATAGAATGCACTGGGGTTTGAAATTTCTTGTTCTCCCTTACATACTTGTGTTTCAGTGTTCTACAATTAATAACAAATAAAAATTATTGTGGCTTAGAATGATTTTTTCAAATAGGAATAGTTCATCTATTTAGAATACAAATAAATACTAGTGCAATATAATTTTAAACTAAATAATAAAAATAATTAATAGCATATAATTTATCCTTTCAAACCATTCTAACTTATAAAAAAAATTGTTATATCAAAATATCTATAGTATCATTAATTCTAATAAAAAAGAGAAAATTCATTTCTTGTAGGAACACTTTAAAAAACGTTTTTAAGGGTAATAAACATTAATATTGAAAAAAACTCGAACCAATTAAAAGTTTTTGGATATGAATTTTATGAGCAAAGTTTTGTTATATAATTTATTTTTGTTATTTTAAATAATTTTGAGATAGAAAAAAATAATTAAAAAGGAGAAACAAAACGTTTCAATGTTGAATTTGAATGTGCATTCAGTTTGGAAGGTCAAAGAAGATTAAATCAAGCAAACACGGATCGGACCTGATTGATGGTAGTGTTGTCGATAAAAAAGGTCTTTTCGAGCACCTCGTCGGGCACCTGGGGGCTCGATCCAAACATGGACCTCCCTACAAATTGCGTCCCCGCGAGCTGAGAGTTGAGCGCAGCAATGATCTTGGCGTTGTTCCTGCCGACATTCATCTGCCAGTGGATCAATCCACGCGGAATTACCATCACCTCGCCTCTGGTCAGCACCTGTGCAAACAAGCGGTTGTCCGCGGTGACAATGGCGGCGTAAACGCTCCCCTCCTCGACGTACACCATCTCCGTGGCCCTGGGATGGGTGTGTGGCGCGATAATCCCCTCGGGTAGCAAGTCGAGCCTGGCCATGGAGAGGCCAAGGGTGTTGATCCCGGGGAACCTCAGCACGGTTCCAAACACTGCGCCCGCGCGATTCATGGCGGTGATGTTGGCCGGATTCACCATTTCTCTGTAGATGAAGTCCTCCACCGTGACGCTGGACGCGTTCCTGCATGGGAAGCCATTGACGCCCGGTGATGCGGTGAGATCCGCGACGCAAAAGTCTTGGAGTGGATCTGGGTCGGAGACCACTGCGCTGGCCAAGAATGCGATGATCACGGTGCTCAGAAGCAGGATTGACGAAGCGCGCGCCATGGCCATGGATCTAAAACTCGAGCTCTCTGGAACGAGGATTCTCAAAGCAAGCTCGATAAGCTCTGGAACAATTGGGACGAGATCAAAATGATATGAGGATGGATGAATGAAACTGGAAGAATGATGAATGAAAATTGTGGTGAGGGGATGGGCTTTTATACTGAGCAATTGGGATGCTACCATACAACACGCAAGGGAGAATTTCAGTGAAGTGAGCCTACAGTTTTGTTTTGTCTTGTGTACGTTTGCATGGCAATTTTGAGGAAAACTCTTCTCCCCTGACCATATCACTGTCAAATTTGGCTGCCTTAATTGCATGGAGTCCACACTCTTCAATGACTTTGACATGGTCTCATACACTGTTGTTTATGTTTGGTCGACCTCATGTTGTCTAATCTCCCTATATAACAATTAAGATCTAAAATATCTTTTCTAATCAATCTTGTTTCAGAACATCAAACAATATAGTCATCTTTGCCAGCACCATTTCCTCCTCCTTTGGAATCTCCTCACCTGGTACGCGTAGCCAAGCACGCCAAACACAATCGCGGCCACAAAGATGAATCTCAGCACCTTTCTCCTGCTGAGCCCCACGCCTAGAAATCCCGACAGCGGCCTCCCCGGGAGATAGGATCGCAACCGGCTTAGGTGGGAGGACCGGGAAGGATGAGGCGACTTGGATCTTCGCCTCGGCCTCCCTCTCTACAAGTTTCATTCGTTATGCAAACAAATGTGTCAAGATTTTCTCTTCTTACCCTTTTCCTCTCGGGAGCTGGCTTCTCGGTGGCGACTTGGACATGCCGGTGGCCTCCTCCGAGCTCTGCGTGTTTTTGCAGAGCCATGCCCAGATAGTACTCCTTGAGCTGGTTCTGCAAGTTAGACATGGCAATGTGGGATCATACATCGATTGAATCTCACTGCTTGACGAAAGAGGAAGGATTTGAAAGCTTGGAGTGGATTCTAGAAAAAAAGAAGAGGAGGACAAGAGCGAGGGAGAGATTTACGCTACCTTTGGAGGCAATTCCACCTTGTGTTGCTGGAGCCATCGAATCAAGTCTGTCTTCTTCATGCTCATCAGGCGCTTCTCGGTCACGGCCGAGGGAGAGGTGAGCTTCTCCTCCCCAGCGGATCGATTTGGAACAATCCTCATCGCCCTTCGCTTTTTTTTCCCCTCTTCCCGGGAAAAAGAAAATCAAACAGTTACGAAAGTTAGCCTCGCATCACAGGAGTCTCGAACCCAAATCCAGTTTCAAAAAGAATTTTTTATTTTTTTTGGCAGAGCACAAAAAGTTTGGTTGTCAGTCAGGAAGATCGTGAAGATGGTCACTGGATGATCGTGATCGCTATGCTGGATAGTTCTCGGCGGAGGTAACCAGGGGGCAAAACATGCTGAGAGAGTCGCAGCCCAGGACGTCCTTGTACTCCCTGTGGATCCAAAACTGGTCATAGACTTCGCCATCGCGGCTCTTCTTGTACTCGAACAGCAGCGACGAGCGATTGAACGAGGTGAGCTTGGTGTAGCCAAAGTCGCAGTCCTGATTCAAGCTCCACGATGGCTTGCTCTCCGGGAACTGGCTCAGCCAAAACCCGCCGCCTCCCGCAACTACGTGAATCGTCCCGTTGAAAGTCCCCGAGTAGAAATCTTTCTCGTCACTGGCAGGAACTTGCTGCACGATGGAGAAGCGCCAAGTATGAGAGAAGATCCAGCTATGGGCAAAAACACGAAAGCACTCACGTTATAGACTGGATAGGTGCGCTCGTAGTTGTGGATGTGGCCGTAGAAGGCGAGGTCCACCTTGTACTTTTGCCACAGCTTCTCCAAGCTGTCCCTCTCGCCGGTGGTGGTAGCACGACGAGTAGCCGAGGACGCGGTGAGAGATGAATACCAGCCACGGCTGCTTCTGCCTGTCCGCGCTCCGGAAGCAATTCTCGAGGAACTCGTACTGCTCCGTGCCGTCGCGCCAGTCGTGCTCCGAGTCGGCGATGCAGAAGTGGAAGAGACCATAGTCGGTTTTATACCTTGCAAGGAAAAAAACAACAAAACTGTGAATCAGCTAGCTTTCTCTCGACTTTAGAACTACAAACCAGAATTTGTCCCTGTTTTGCACGGGCATGTTGAACACGGTTGGTGAAACAACACCACACTCGCCTCCCGAGTCGGTGCTGTTGTAGAAAGAGCCAGTGTTTGGCCAATCTCGCTCATGGTTTCCATTGATTTGAGCAAACTTTAGATCGACAAAAGAGAAAGAAGATTGTAAAATACCTGGCTGTTATGTAAGGAACTTTGGAAGACAAATTCTCAATCTGCTCCGTGAACTGATCCCACTCGGAGAGATATCCAGTTGCGTAGGATATGTCGCCAATGTGGAAGATAATGTCGATGTCGTTTATTTCGTTGTTAAGTGTGTCAGTTGTGTTCAAAGACCCCGGCTCCAAATCGAAGTACATTCTCGATCCATCTCGCTGGTGCTCTTGAATTCGCACAAGTTGGTTTTGTAAAGAGTTTTTTACGAAAAAAAAAAGGAAGAAAGAGAAAACAAAAAACTTGTACCGTGCCCATATCACCGAATATCACAACTCGTTGCAAGGATTCTTGGCCAGGAAATGGGGGTGAATGAAAGTACATCTTTGGGCTCATGACAAACGAGGCATCCTGCAGCACTTGGAAGCTATCCCTGCAGCGAAAAAAGAAAACACAAGAATGTTAAACTCGATGCATGTGATAAACTTACCTTGTGGTTGGCCATAAGTCCGTCATAATCCCAGTATGGCTCTGCCCAGGGTCTCGCCATCCGATAGTGGATGCCGGCGCTCCTTCAAAACAACTGTCGGTTAAAAAAAAATTAAAAAATCCATAGCTAACCCAACATACCTATCTCCACGACTCACTGACAGCGTGGTGGCCGGATGAGCAACAAAGGAATACTTGTCATCGTACGCCTGCCGTGTTAAATGGAGCTGCCTCGCTGGGAAGGTAATTGCTCGTCCAAGTCACAGTCATCTGTGAGATCCTGAGCTTCTTTGTTTGATATAACAGGATCGAGCGATGACAATTTACCTCGTTCCAAGCCCTTCCCTGAGCTAGCCTCGGGTACAAAGGCATCTTCAAGTTGTCAAAGGTGACCACGTTAGACACGGCGATCAGCACCGGCTGCTCAGTCGGAGAAGTTACAGATGTTAGATAGAGAGCTGCGATCATCTTACCTCCGCAAAGCCGGAGAACAAATCAAAAGAAAAGTTTGCGCGCTGGTTGATGAGACGGAACGTGAGCTGTCCACTGCCGCTGCTCACGTAGTCTTGCGACTGGTTTGCGTACTGAAACTGAAAGGACAAAACCGAAAGGTATTACGTCTAATGAATGACACCAAGAAGTAGTAGTACCTTGATGGGAGCGCTGCAGATGTAAGGTCCCCAAGCGGGTATTCTTGTCTTGACCACGCAGACGGAGGAGCTGCGAGCGATCAAATCCAAAGTAGAAGAAAACTCTTTTCAGTGTGAAGATTATACTTGAATACTGGTGGCGAGAAGACACCGATCCAGTCCTGGTCGCTCGCTCCAGAGGCCCTCTGGAATTGCACAAGGACGTTTCCAGCATGTTCTTTCTGAGGGACAGTAAAAGGAAGAATCAGTGTCCGTGAAACCATAAATTTTGCTACCTCCTTGCCAAGCACATCGGGAGAAGCTCGCACAGACGAAGAGTTGTCAATGTTTATCACGGCGCGATCAATCGGCAGTCTCGAAGGCAAAGGATGCTGCTGCGAGAACAACACCAAGGAGCAACAGTTAACAACAATGAAGAACATGATTTTCATTGTCGCGCAATTCCTACTGCAGCAATGCCCTGATATATATTTACGATGAAATGCCTTAGAATGTATATTTCCTGTCTAGATTAGAAAATGCGCTTTTCTTCTAATAATAACTCGTAAGAAACCTGTTTGCAGATTTTCCAACGCTTGAAACACTAGCTCTTACGAGCCACGTTTGCAATTCTGAGAAATAAAAACGGTTACCAGGCAATTGACCCAGCAAAACACAAACCATTACAAGTTTTGCGCATCGTAGAAAGCGAGAGCTCCGAGAAAATGATGCTAGCTAGCAAGAAAAAAGAAAAGCAAAGAAACAGAACCAATCCAGAAACAACGAGGGAAACCTTACGTACAGTTTTACGGATATGAGGTACCACCCTGTTTTCTAGCAGAGACCGCTATGCCCGTGTTGTCGACTTTTCTCGATTGTGTCAGCTCCAAAGTTCGAGGATCGCTTCCGCAGGTCTGCGGCTGCGTGAGAGGTGAGCTCGCAGACAAAGCCACAAGCGAACTAAGAACGAAGACAACCAGCGCGCAAGAAGCGCATTCAAGCTGCAGAACCTTGCGTTTCGTGAGATCCCAGAAAACACGAAGAAACTTACAAACACTGGATGGACAATTCGGGTACGAGCTCTCGCCTAGTTGTACACGAGCACGTAAAACGCGAGGTCCACCCTGTGCCATTTGCCAGAGCTTCTCAAGAAAGCAGAAAAAAAAGAAAGAATCCAAAGCAGTGCTAACCAACAAGCAAATAGTAGGCTTTGCTAAATGCTAGACAACAAAACGTAAGGCGACGTAGTACCTGGTCCCAAGCGCACGGCATTCTGTGCGATGCTAGCGGCGAGCTCCTTGTTGCCATGGATCCGGCACGCACCCAGCAATCCCACCCAGTCGTGGAGATCCGGCTCCAAAGGCATGCTCTCCATCAAATCCCTGGCATCCGCCAGGTACCCGGCGCGGCCGAGCACTCCGATCACGCATCCATACTGCTGCTTCTTGGGCCTCCAGCCGTGATCCACGCTCATCGCGCGCAAGCATCGCACAGCCGATTGGAGATTTCCGCCGTGGGCGTGCGCCGCCAGCACGCATGCGAACGTCGTCTCGTCCGCCCCGGCGCTCTCCATCACCATTCCCATGAAATAGGGCTCAAGAAGCTCCACGCTGGAAGAATGTGCCGCCAGCATGGCGTTCCACGAGACCACGTTCCGAGCTGGCATCGCGTGGAACGTCCGCGTGGCGGACGCCAGGTGCCCATTCCGGGCATATGCGCACAGCATGGCATTCCACGCCACCATTTCTCTTCCTGGCATTGAGTGGAACAACGCGACCGCGCTTGCCAGGTCGCTGTTTTGGGAAAACCCAGTCAGCATGGCTGTCCATGCGACAACGTCCACGTCAGGCATTGCGTGGAAGAGTTCCACGGCCTTGTCAAGATGCCCAGTCCCGGCATATGCTGCGAGCATCATTGTCCACGCGACGCGATCGCGCGGTCCGGGAATCTTCTCAAAGAGGTCTTGGGCTTGGGCGATTTGCGATGCCTGGATCATTGCCGAGAGCACGGTGGTCCACGACGCGAGATCTTTGCTGGGCATTATATAGAACAATCCCTTCGCCTCTTGAAAGTTCCCTTCTTGGGCACTTGCCGCTAGGAGCGCATTCCAGGAGAAAAGATTGTGGGCTTTCATTCGATCAAAGAGAGATTTCGTTTCTTCGATCCCCCGCGCCGCCGTGAGCATTGCATTAAACGAGATCACGTTGTGACAGGGCATCGTGTCCTCGAAGAACTCCCTGGCGCGATCGTAGCCCCCATTTTGCGCAATCGCCGAGAGCATCGCGTTCCATGACACAATGTCCCTCTCCTCCATGGAATCAAAGAGCCTCTGCGCGTCATCCAGACGCTCTTCCTGCGCGATTGCCGAGAGGAGCGAGTTCCACAAGATGAGATCGCGCTGGGGGGCGGATTCGAACACCCGCCTGGCCTCGTCCACATGCCCACTGGCGGCGATCACTGCCGTCCACGTGCCAAGATCCCGCTCGGGCATCCGCTCAAAGAGCTCGCGCGCTCTCTCGGCACTCCCGCGGCGTGCGTACGCATTGAGTAGCGTGTTGTAGGTAATCAGGTTTCGCGCATCCATTCCACGGAAGAGGGCGAGCGCGTGATCGATCCACCCGGCCTCGCCCAGCGCTCCGAGCATGACGTTGCCCGTCACGAGATTTCTCTCGGGCATGGCGTCAAAGAGCGCGATTGCCGATTTGAGGCGGTCGTTCCGCGCTAGCGCCGAGAGCATCGAGTTCCAGGATACGAGATCTTGCAGCGGCATAGCGGTAAGGATTCTCACGGATTCGTCCAAATGCCCGTTATCGGCATATGCAGATAGCATTGCGTTCCAGGTCGCGATGTCCCTGTGAAGCATGAGATAAAATATATCTCTTGCTTCCTTCACGTTTCCATATCTCCCAAGAACTGCGATGATTGCTGTGCTAGAGAAAGAGTCCGTGAAAGGCATCTGGAAATATATTCTTAATGCCCCGTCAAGATCCCCTATTCGGGTATATGCCGCAAGCATAGTGGTCAGTGAAATGATTCCCTGTTCGGGCATAGCATCAAACACCATTTTCGCATCATCCATTCTTGAAAACTTGAGAAACGCGGTGAGAATGCTAGTCCAGGAGACAAGATCACGGTCTGGCATGGAATCGAACACCAGCTTGGCCTCGCGAATATACCCGTTTCCGGCATATGCCGAGAGCATCAAGTTCCACGAGAAGATGTCCTTGGCGTCAATGGCATCAAACACGCGCCGAGCGTGATCGATGCCGCCGCACCTTCCATACATTTGGATGAGGAGGTTAGAAACAAAGACGCTTGGGGGCGAGTCCGCAAGAGAGCAATGTAGTTTCTTCGCATCCACTAGAGTTTTACATGACTTAATATGTGAGATCAAAGTGCTCATATTCTAACATGGTAGGAATGTCCAAAGTGTTCATATTCTAACATAGTAGGAATGTCCAAAGTGTTCATATTCTAGCATGGATGACTTTCAGCGAAAAGAAAAGAATTAGATGTTACCTCAAGTCGACTATATCGAATCTTAAGCTGGGATTCATGTAGACATGGGAACAGTGATCGTATATGGAGCCGCCGTTGGCCGGCTCGTCGTGTGGATGAAATCCTCGTTGGTCGCACTGCTGGATAGCTTCCATGCCGCCAGGCTCGGACAGCCGAAAAATGCCGAAGGACCTGGACGCGAAGGAAGGTAAGAAACTGGTAGAACAAACGAGAGGAAAAACGAGACCTTTCTTCGTCGGTGGGAGCCATGACGATCGCAATTGCCTCCTGCAGCATTACCTGCGCAAAAGAGCTTGCGATGAGCAGCCCGAAAACGCGAGTGTCTAGTACCTGGTAGGAGTAGTGCGTGTGAAGATCTATTGACGACATAAAACACGTTTGTGTTGGATGCGTCTGCGAAATGAAACATGGTTACGATCGTGCATTCTAATCTCAGGCGCACTTACGTGTATCCATCCAAGCTGGAATAGATTCCGTTTGTCTTGAACTTCGAATAGTTCCTCCTCGTTGACCGTTTGGCACTGTCAAGAAAAACTCTAAACGAGTAGCCCACAAAATCGTGAAGGCATACCGAATCTGACGTCGCTTCCTGCTTCGGGATAATCAGAGTTGTCACAGAAAACATACCCTTTTCCTGCAAAGTTACGGGTTCAAGTTAGCCACCACAAAGAAAAATTGGAGACCTTACAAGAAAACCGGCCAGGACTCCGCAGGTTTCCAAATTCTTTTGCGTATTGTGACGAGCTAGTGCAAGGAACTCTTCCATCATAGTCGGAGACTGCAAAGATATGGTTTAGTCCACACACTAAAAATGAAAAGGTAGAAAGAATACTCACAACGTATAAGTGCTTTGGTCCCTTTTCATTGGAAACCTTGGGAGACCCTGGTCTTGGATCAGCCACTGTAGTGGGCGGCAAGCATTGAACGTTTTGTACAGGAACCGGAACGGGAGGAGGAGCGAGCTGATTAACAAGATTGTACTGAGGTGGTAAGGCTGTTGGTTCTGACGAAGACACAGAGATGGAGTTCTGGTCAAAACTTTGCAAAAAGAATGAAAAAATATCAGTATACAAGAACGGTGCCGACCGAAAGCTACAGACCTTGGGATCTCGATATGCGATACATCAATATAGCTTGGGTACGTCACCTAGTAGAAACAGATAAGAATGATTCAGCGTCGTGACCTCGAATTTACTAAATGCTTACTTTGACAGGTTGCTCAAGCATCGGTTTCCTGCTGCTCGGCAACGTAAAATAAGAATGCCTAGAGAGCGTCTCATCTCTTGGCCTCACAGTTCTGAAAATTCAAAGCTTGGAAGATCGCCAATACATTTGCTTAGCTTACCCTTGCCATGTGTTTTGCCAGTTAGTCTGGAGACTGGTTTGCCATCTATTCTTTGCAGGATTGGGATCGTACTTATTGTACTCAAGAGACGCATTTCTCTGCACATAAAGCTCGTAGAAAAATCAAACTCTCAGAACTACGCACAGTCGTACCTTCACCGGGAAAGGAGCTTCCAAAGCTTTCTTGACAAGAGGCTTCAAGCTTTCCAGCTCGGCCAGCGCTTCCAACACCCTCTGCAAAGAAAAAAGAATTCAACTTCGCATAGAGTCGCCTCAACAAAAAAGCAAAGCAGCAGCAGAAGCTGCAAGAAGCAATCGCTCAGTACCTGCCGGAGAAGAGCCTTCTGTGAATCCGAAAAGCGCTTGTACTCATTGTGAGCTGGGATCGTGTCGATCACCAAGCTGAAACCAATGACATCTGGAGTATGCGTAAAGCGAGCCTTTAAAAAGAATCAAGAGGAGGCGCAAACCTTGTGAATCTCAGCAGGAGGATGTAGAGCTCGAGCACATTCTTCTCGCTCCTATAGATTCTCGCCTAGAAAGAACCAAATCCAATCGATCCCTTACTGCCCGATCAGACGAACCCTACCAGCATACCTGGCGCAGCAGATTATCGGCGATCCTGTAGTAGTGCCGCAGCGGCAGGCGCTGATTCACGTCCAGCTTGGGCGCGCTCGCCTCGATATTCATCGCTCTCCCCCCTCAAACCTTAGGGCTACCCTGTTCTTCTCGCCCTTGATAGACCGTTGACCAAAAGCGTGGACCGGCTGACGTTGACCTCCTCGTTGACCGTGTTCTGTCTTTGTTTTTTTGTGTGTGTATGTGTGTGTGTGTGTGTGTGCATTCTGCCACACAAGTCCTCGAAGCGTGTGTTTGGCTATGGTGTGGACCTGAGCTCCACCACCACTGCTGCGCCACTGCCACCACCTCCACCAACGCATGACATCAACCATCCAACCACAGCCCTCAAGCCAAGGGATAGCACAGATCCAAATCCAACCATGGAGGTAAGAATTCTTTTAGGAATTTTTTTTTGGGGGAATCTCTCCTCCAGTCTTCGTCTTGCCTTGCCTAGAGCAGAGTGATTTCATGGGCAAAAGTTTGAATTTGATTCCATAAAAGAAGAATACTTGGAAAATATGGAATAACTTTTGCTGTTGAGATTCAAGAGTGGTGGCTGGTTTCTAGCCTTCCACAAGCGGCCAAGCGACTTGACATCTTCGAATTTCAATCAGGTTACAAACAAGTACCCTGTCTCAGTGGAGAGGCCTGCGATTTCATCCATCTCTTGAGTTAAGCTACTATACGATCAAGAAGATTTCAATATTAGTTTGGACTTGTCTATCACCTCTCGCACTCCCCACCTTTTCTCTTCTGGTAGTTGGGAGAAGCAGGAGAGATCTTTCGATTTTGAGATTCATCACCCATCTTTTGAGCTGGTTTTGCTTGTCTCCTTATAACAACATGCTGTCAAAGGCGTGGAAGAAAAGACTGGCAGCTTATGTATATTTTAAAATCCATTTGACGCGTAGATTTTATATACACGTATATATAATTGATATATATAGTATCTCTGTACGCAGCAGCAGCAGCACGATGCTACACACAAAAGCCTCGATACATTTCATCGGCATAGGATGCCAAAAGAGAATTTTTCTAAAAGGAGAGCCAGCGCTGGCTGGCCGAGCAGCGAAGATTGCAATGTCTTTTGATCTCTTATCCGGAGATAGAAGAGGATCAAAGAGATCCTCCGCTATATACTTGGCCTGACGCAGCTTGGCTGGCCCAATTTTTACCTGGACCCATATTCTTCCTCCTAACTATCACATATGATGCACCGAAAATATATTATACAATATATAGCCAGACAAAAAACCATATGATTTGCTTTGCGATGTTCCGTCTTAAGCTTTGCATGCACGCACAAATGCCAAAGGCTAGACTCCAAGCTCTGGATGCCTCAGTTGTTATCACAACTCACAACTTGTGCCATGCGTTTTCCTCTCTGGAGGAGGGCGATGGAGCTATACAGACAAGCATGACGTGACCAAGGGACGCAAGGTGTGTGCGTCTTGTGTTCTTGTTCTTAATCCCGAAGAAAGTGACACCCTGCTGATTAACTGCCTCCTGATCCACACACTGATCCCACGCTGATGGTGTCTGGCCCCTGTGGGGATCCCTGGTGTTTCTGGGATCTCTGATTCCTGTTGATCTCTCGCTCTCTCCGCCAGTCTCTCTTTGGCCTCCTCCTCGCTGATCATAACTTTTGTTTCAGCTGTGCCCAGTCTGCAGCGGGGGCGGTGCTGGTGCTGGTGTTTGTTGTTAACAGCCTGCCAAGAGCGCATTAACTCGAGGAGATCGTTGTTTGCATCTCGGCTCTCACAGCTCCATGCCGCTGTCCGCCATCGCGGCCGTCGAGCGTCCGTCCGGCCCCTGCGTGTAGCCCTGTCCGCCTCACGAGAAAAAGCTGCAGCGCTTGCATATAATACATGTAGCACCTGATCAAAGCTGGAAGTAAATGAAAACCGAGTGGCCATGCTCTATAGTGTGGAATATTTGCAGGCAAGCGTACCGCACGGTGAAGTTGCGAAGTAAATAGGCTCTTGATCGTGATTGATTTGCTCTTTTCTACCAGCTAGAATGTACATCAACTCTCTCCATAATCAAACAAAAGAAAGGGGATTTTTTTTTTCTCTCTCTCTCTCTCTTTCACCTCGACGACGCCATGGGCTGCAAGCTCTTGGACAAGCCCGCGATTCGCATGGTCGCGCAGCCCAGGCAGCCCAGCAGGCCCTGCTTGTATGGGAGGAAGGTTTTGCGGCGCATCTCCTCGGAATTTACCCGCTGCTGGGACTTGTAGTGGAGCTCGTGGAGGGATATGCCTCCGCCACCTTGCGCCGCCGCCGCCGCCGCCGCCGACGACGAGGAGGAAACGTTGGTGGCGCCGCCGAGGATGTTGCCGCTGCTGCTGCTGTTGATGCTGTTGTTGCGGCTCCGCCGGGGGCTGACGTTCCGGGACGAGCATGCACTGGACGCTGCCGAGTTTGAGTAGTAGAAATGATCGCCGCCACCTTTGCTGTGGAGATTGAGATCGGTGAATCTCGCGGATTGGAAGTCCATACCACCACCGCCAAGTTTGCCACCCACGATCGGCCCACTATGAAACATTGATCCCCCGCGACCGCCACCTTGCCCTCCTCGCCGGTGCGCTACGTGATAGTTGAGCCGCTTGTTCTTGATCGTCGCGTCCGGCAGCCGGCCCTTGTGCGGCCTTGCGGCCATGGCGGGGAACTCCGCCTCGGGGACGATGGATCCGCTGTGCAATCGCCTCGCGGAGCTGTAGTAGCCGCCGGTGGATCCTCCACTGTGCTGGAGGTCGAGGCTGTGGAGTCTCTTCTTGTGGATGGCGATTCCCTGGAGATTCCCCGATGCCGAGGACGAGGACGGCGTCTTCCGTGCGGCGCTCGCGGCGGTGAATCGCTTGCTGTGATCGCCCACCAGGGATTTCTCCACCAGCCTCTTGGTGAGAGCCGAGGAGTCGAGCTTCTTGCCGAGGGGCTT